GAGAATCCTACCATTATCTGATGTATTCTCCGGTCTTAGCAAATCCTTTTTCAAACTGGCAACTCTGTTTTTGTAGTAGAGATACTCCAAGCTGCTCTTATCATATAAAAATCTGAAAGGCAAGGATAAGTAATTAGATGAGTTCAAAAATAGTTTAGAAGTAAATAAATCTGAATGAGCTACACTGTCCTTCAAACTTACGAGAAAACAGGATTGTCCTTGTAGTCTTCTTTGGCTTTTCTTTCCAGCTCAGGTCCGCCCTCCGCCACAAAAGAGGCCATCTTGTCGATAATGAGTCTGGTGTCTGAATCCTCTGGGGGAGAGACTTTAAGCAGGCTATGAGTACATTTACTCTAAGGGCACCTATGACAAAATGTCAGTCACAAGGCAACTGTGCCACTGGAGTACGCAGGAGATGCACTGAAATGTCCAAGCCATGGAGTTATCCAGAGATACACTGAAAACCCTAGGCCTTGAATTACCTTTCATCTCTAAGAATCTGGAGTAATCAGCCTCTTCTTCCTCGTCTTCATCGTCTGGAGAACAAAACACACTCGGTCTCTGGCTGAGAACAGGATTCTTCTTGGACTGTGAGTAGCTCTTGAACTGACTAAGCATGCTACTGACCCCAAGGCCAGGCCGCTTGCCAACAAGAATGCTCTTTTTTTGAAGTGAGTTTCCTCCTGGTGATGACGTTGAGGGAGTTTTAGTATCACTGGTGGAACCTTGAAAGAGTAACAGGACACATTTCAAAATTTTAGTTCTAGCCTTTACATAAATGCTATTTCTTTTAAATGGCAAAGTCTCCTTCTCAACCAGAAATTTGGTAGGTAACTCACCCAAGTAAGTAATGTAAGGTAATGTTCATGGTCCCTATTCTAAACTATTTTCCTAGAGTTTTGGTGCCCTCTTTAAAAACCTCCCACAAACTGTACAGGTGTCAAGGACTTATTGTAGACAGCCTGAGGCCTCTTTATCTATTATTTACATAAGCCAAAACGCTCCTTGCTATTATTCTGTGTTCCAGTGTCCCTGCTACTATGTTAAATTTCCATACACAACATCACAGTGATATATTGCGTGTGATAAGGACATGACAAAATCATGACTGTAACTTTTTGCTTGAAACTGTGCAGCTCAAGTTACTAACCAGACACACTGTTGGATTTCTCCTTCTGCATCTTCATGAACTGCTGTAAGAAGCTTCCATCATTTACAAATTTATTTGAGGAAGGTCCTTGAAGTGTTGGAGAACTATTGGGATCAAAATGAACAAAATATTTTTAAATGTACTTTGTTATCATTTTAGGTCAAGGTTGGTTTCAAATAAAACATTCATGCATAACAACAGTACCTGACAGCACCAAATATTACTGCACTTATATAATAATATAATTATTTCTGTGTATTTTTTTTACGTTTGGTGCCATAACTATACCTTTACCTTGGAGGAACGGGTTTGCTGGTGGCTTGCACATTAATCTTTGCCTGCTCTGCCATTTTGGCCTCAATCTCCTTTTTCTTCTGAGCTATCAGCTTCTCTTGACGAAGAATATTCATGTTCATCTTGTTTTTCTGTGGCTGGATAGGTTTGGACTTCCATCCTCCTCGCCCTAAAATAAAAATAAAAAGGGGGGTGCAATATGACAACAATAAGCATGTTATAACGTTTCAGCTGTGGAGCTGGCCTTTAACAACTATAAGAGTGACATTTTCTGAGATGCATCCTATAAAATCTGCCCCACTTATTGGCTATAGGGGGTTCAAATTCTTAACGGGAGATAAATATGGTATCTTCGTATGCAATATTGAAACTATGCCCTGCAGACTAGCTAGCAAACAAGAAAGCTCTCTAAATCGAACATCAAAAACAACTTCTAACAGCTGTTCACACTGGTGTGGGGGAAGAGATAATTCATGTAATCAAATGTGGTTATTACATGTTGCAGACCTAAGGAAAGTCAAGTAAATATAATGCAAATGGTCTTATTTGCTAACTAGCTAACTACCTAGCTCAGTTTCCCCCAACGGCTAGCTAACGTTGTACACTACGCCAGCAAGCGACCAGTCCAACTGCTAACGTTACATAAGCTAACGTTAAGTTAACATTAGCTAGTTAACGACTAACGTTATCCTGTCTAACTTAACGCTACAAGTTTACTAAGGGTAGCTGCTACATATTTAGCATCTCAGTTAAATCACAGTAAACATTTACCTGCATCGCTAGACTCCATAGTAATAACTTAGCAGAATGAAAAATAGATTTTGAAAAGCGCTCACGGACTAAAATGAGGCCTTTCGCTGCTACCGTAGTATTCTTCTTTTGTTCCTTTCCGGCAGACTAGGCACTGTTAGTGCATTGCTGCCTCCCACTGGTGATAGAGACCATATCTATGATAGAGACAGTCTACCGTAGTAGCTGACTTTGCTATGCTTTGAAGCAGCTGGCAAACACAAGAACTACACTTCCGGTCATAGTTTGTCCACAATAAAAGCATTGGCCCGTATCCAATGATCTTTACACATCAACAGGGCCCCAGACATCGAAAGACATGTTTGCACAAAAGCCAAATAATTATCAGTACCACGTCTTAACAATTCTGGTATAAATCATATAATAATTTTACTCACTCAAATTCACACTGTAAATTTACACAGTCCCTGAATTTACTTGAGCTCTCCTTTGACACCATAGCATCATCAGACCCCAGGATTTTCTATAATGACAGCACCACAGGAATGAATATTCAGTATTTATTGACACCATTAGTTTAGTGGTGTTGTTTTGTGTTGTATTATATAGAGAGACGTTAATAGGCTATTCTGTCCATAATATGTAGGTGTATGTATGTGTAAATAGAGCTGGACAAAACATACCCAGAATGATACCTCTCTTGCACAGTTGTTATATTGAATTCCACCCCATTTTACAAGTGTACCTAATAAAGTAAATAGATCAAAACACTCTTGGGGACTCATCTCAGCCATCAAACTGAATGCAGAGCTGTTCAAGGTACACCCAGCTTTCAGCCAGACTACTTCAGCCACTCTTCACTCCAGATGTGTGTTCTTTGTTTTATTTATTATTTCCCTTTAAAGTCCCACTTATGAATGTCTAGGCTCTGTCCTGATTTTGGGAATTATTCTTGTGATTTCCTGTTTTATTTTGGAAGTATCATTCCTCACGTGTCTTGTGATACTTCTTGCTGATTTTTCAGTTTGTGGGTATTGCCTGTGCCATTTGACTGCTTACCTGGTTTGGACCCTTGCCTGTTTCTACTTGCCGTAAGGCAGTGTACACCTTTTTGATTTGTTATTAAAAACCTCTTGAACTGTAGCTGCTCAGTCCAATCCCTAGTGTACTCTGTGCTTGACAAATAGTCAGTCAGTCATTGGACAGTCCACAGTTTAAAAATGTTTCATTTGTCAATGTGATATTTGGAATCTGAATATCCCATTCAAAGTATGATAAATGTCAAAACATAAGGAAAATACCTACACACTTTGACATTTGACTATTCAAAGGTATGATAAATGTGAAACTTACAGGTCAATTCCTTAAAGGGGCTCACTATACTGAAAATGTGCATATTTTCTCATAGAAAAGTCCCAGAGGCCTCAGATTTAATAGAGGCCTTAAACAAGCCCACTTGACCAAATCCCCTTTGACATCTACAAAAAAAGGAAGTTTATCTGGAATAATCAAGCGAAGATGGTGTAAGGGTTGACTAGTTGTACAGTCGAAATTGGACAGATTGATGGCAAGTTATCAGAGCTCGGATTTTTTAATATGTCGTCGCCACGCCCAAATGGGACATTTCCATCTTTAAGGTTTATATTTTAGTGTGTTATTAAGTAAGTACATGTCTTGTAGAAAGAACTGACATCCTATAGAACAGCAATGACAGAACTGATTGTGTAGTGTCGATTTATATTGTATCCTATTATTTCTCTGCATTACATACATGTACAGGCTAAACAATAAGGATTGCCCCATTGCCCGGGTCAAGTAAAATGCTACGACAAACTTGAAAATCTAGCCACTTTAGGTAAATAATTAAACACGTTGTTTTTTCTGGAGCTGATGATGGAAGTAGCTAAGGAGTAAGCAATCTCGCCTCCTTCTCATCTCTGTTGAGAGTGGCACATTAAGAGTACTGATGCAGTGCTTACAAGTAGGGATGGATACCAAAATCTGTAGTATTGTCATACTAGCTAAAGCCTCTCCTACTAATGTTTTGGGGCTTTATTTTTGATACAAGAATGTTTGTTGCTTCGCATCTGTGACACACTGTGTCCTTGTTCTGATTAATTTACTTTATAAGATTAAAGACAAGGCAAGGCAAGGCAAGTTTATTTGTATAACATATTTCAACAACAAGGCAAGTGAAAGTGCTTTACATAAAATACCCATAATTCGGTTTTGTAGAATCTTCATCATTTCTATAATAGGTTACGAATAATCAGGCTTTTCACTTTCCTTGTTTTGCTTTTTTGATCTTCCATCTTTCACATCAGTCAAACCTGATCTTTATTGTACAATATTTATTTACACTTAATATAAACAAGAAAATTAACTTTGTAGTTATTTGACGGCGGCTAATAAATAAAAGTATTTGTATATTGGCTGGTAAAAATTGACTTTGGGCAAATAGATTGTGGAAATCAATAAGTATATTTTTACGCCAAACGTGCAAGTGAAAAAACCCATAACGTTAGGCCTCTGCAGAAATTCTAAATCGACAAAAAATGCAAATAGGCCTACAATTATACTGAAAATACATTTTATATAAATGAATTATTTTAAATGTCACAAGTGATGATTGATTAAATTTAAGATATATTAAGGTTTAATGTTAGACTTTCTCGCTTTTATTTAAAGGTAAACATTAAATGTCATTTAATGTCCTGTTGTTGGTCATTTTCCATGGTAACTTTACGTTGGCGCTCGTGTGTTTCCGTTATGGTTTACGCCGACTCTTACCAGGGTTTATGTCCCTCCCTGCTACCCGTCCGTACCGTACAAACCGCTCTACTGTTTAGAAATGGCTGAAGCTCCCCCACGGCCCTGCCGGTTTTTTTGCCACCGGTGTTCAGCAGAGATTAGTCCACGTTTACCGGTAAGGATCCAAGAGATATATTTGCCTACTTGAAGAATGAGAAATTATATTAGGGGTCGTATTGTTTTACGTGTGTGTGTTCGCGGTGCACACTCAGTCACGTCAACTCATTGCTAACGGTACTGTTTAGCTAGTTAGCTAGCCCCATAGGCAACAACTGTCCAGAGTGTCAGTTAAGTTGGAGTAATTAAGTTGGCGCATACACTCGCGTTATGTGTTAGACATGTAATTTCAGCGGTATGATGAAAAGCAGCTAGAGAGAGCCCATCTTAACCGCTCGACCGGTGTCATACTGGTGGCGCTTTAATGTCAGGAAGCAAGCTACCAGAAGAAAACCGTAGGTGCACTTTTTATTCCTGTCAGGCGGCGATAAACAGTAAGCAGGTTTCGGATTTGATTTAATGCTTTTCAGTCAGCTAACATTAAATCTTTTCAGTAGGATTTGCTGTAAGCGTATTGTGGATGTACCGCAAAGAGAAGTAAAACGTTCATAATATCACTTCCATCCACAGCCAGTCTCAGTCAGTTAATATCGCTGTTGTGGCAACAGCTCGCTTGCCTACCACAGCAGTCTGTTGTCAAGCCATTCATGGGAAGCTTCTTGAATGTTACGGTTATTCTGTCAGCCAGCTGTGTGACAGCTCAAGAGCTTATATTTACTGATTGGAAGTAGTCACAATTGTAATATTTAACGTTACTGCATGTGGCATTTGCTTAACCACAGGCTATGGATTATCTGTCTGTTTGATTACCCATATGGTCTACATTAACATCAGCATGGTCTGCATTTCAAAGACATACATTTAAAGGACTGTATTTATTTATCATGATTTGACATCATATACTCAGTTACAAGTAGGTAGGTCTGGCAGGACTGGCAGGTACAAGTTTATAACATTTATAATATTCAGTTTTTGTTGAAAGTGTTTGTGATGATAGTAATTTTTGAGGCTGGAGTTTGTGGTACTTTTTTGTCCACCCCATTTAAATCAGTGATGGTAGACTAAATATTACACCTCTCAGTATAACACAAAATTACCATTAAGTTGAATCAACACCTCTCTAAACACTCTAACCTTTATAACTCAGAAAATTATGTATATGTTAGTCAAAGGCAACCTTCCTTGGATAGCTATGACCTATATGACTGAGAATCTTCAGATACAGATGTATATGTTAGCTATGGTGTGTAATTACTAGATATTTTATATTTTCACTATAGGACTACACCTGTCCACGCTGTGAATCTGGCTTCATTGAGGAACTGCCTGAGGAAAGAAGGTATGGAAGATTATGCTGTGTCTCATGAATGTGATAAATTTGTTGTGCAAGTGGATTTCTGAGTCTTATCTTTTCACTTTCTGTACCACTGTGTTCGTGCAGTAATGAGACTGGCTCTGCATCCACGTCCTCCAGCAGTGATCAGAACCGCCCATCATTTGAGGTCAGTGTGGCTTGTTATATCATCTGGTCCAGGTAAAAATTTTACGCCCTGCACCATGATTTGACATTGATTTTGACATTGCGTCTGTCTTTTCTGCTAGAACATGGATCATCAACATTTATTCACATTTCCCTCTGGGTATGGCCCGTTCGCCCTTGGGATTTTTGATGAAAACTTCGACCTTCGAACGCGGCTACCAACAGAGGACAACCGAGAGACAGAAAACAGGAGAGAAAGGGAAATGGCATCACGGCAGCGATACAGCGCACGGCAACCACGGGGTCGACATGTTCCTCGACGACAGGGTACGCGCCATGAAGGAGTGCCCACATTAGAGGGGTGAGACATTTCAGCAGTAGTGTGTGTTATGGGAGGTTGTTGTGGGACACAGGTGGATACAGGTAAAAATGTACCTATTTTGTGTGAGTAATAAATGCCTCTCATGTAATGGTAGAAAATACTTAAACAATATTATTTCCAGTTTAAGAAGTTGGTAACATGATGTGTTTAGATACTACTTCTAAACATAATGTAGAAGCTTGCTTAACTTGGTGTGGCGATGGAGCAGTGGATAAGACCTTTGGTGCAGGAGACCTGGGTTTGATTCCTGCTGCGACATATCCACCAGTGTGTCCTTGAGCAAGACACTTAACCCCTTGTTGCTCCTAAGCCATGCAACCTCTGATATACATAGCAATTGTAAGTTGCTTTAGACAAAAACGTCAGCTAAAAAAATACATTTTCCATTTGTGGAATTTATGTAAAAAGACAAGACAAGTTAACAGTCTGATTTAACAAATGCTTGTTATTTTTCTTTTTTGTGATATTTTTTTCCGGATACAGGATTATCCAGCAACTAGTAAATGGAATCATAGCACCTACAGCCATGCCAAATATCGGGATGGGACCATGGTACGTAGAAGAAACTCTGATGCATGTTTGTTTAATAAAATAATGTTTACTGTGTTAAGTCTTGACTACCTTATTGTCCTACAGGGGAATGCTACATTCCAATCCAATGGACTATGCCTGGGGTGCCAATGGTCTTGATGCTATTATTACACAGGTATAAAAAGTGTTTTGTTTTTTATGCAACAGTGGAGATAAAACTGCATATCAATTAGGCAGCTACAGTATTACTACTAATTCAGCTAGATATAGATTGTCATTTACAGGAAAAAGCATGTTCTCATGCAGATGATCTCACAGCAATTTTTGCGACTCTGTTCTTTTTCACTTGTAGTTGTTGAACCAGTTTGAAAACACGGGTCCCCCTCCTGCTGACAGAGAGAGGATAAAGAGTTTACCCACCATCTCCATTACAGAGGAACATGTGGGTAAGTCCACATCTCTCTCTCACTCAGCGCCATAGCAGCTTTACAACTCTTTGAGTTATGTCAGAACAGAAAGTTCTCCTTTTAAAACTATCTATCTATCTTTAGTTTTAGATCATCACAGACTCATGCAGGAAGATTCCTATGTTGTTATTAGTGGTAATAAAGGGAAGTTGTTGGATTTAACCTTAGACTGCACAGCAAATAATACAATACTAAACTCAAATAAACAGAATCGGTGTCAGCTGCACTTTTCCATGCAGCTGACGCAAGTGACCGTGTTTCTCTTTCTCACACACTGACACTATGTTGTTTTCTGTTTGTGCAGGTGCTGGTTTAGAGTGTCCTGTGTGCAAAGAAGACTACAGCGTTGAGGAGAGTGTTAGACAATTGCCATGCAATCACTTGTTTCACAATGACTGTATAGTACCATGGCTGGAACAGGTATGTATGTATTTTTATGTCCCAAACAGATGTTGATCACAGTATTTGATCGGTATTGTCTGCCCTAAGCTGTGTAGCTATATAAAGCCAGCTTTGTCTCAGATAATTAATTATAACCCATTGTGCTTTGTTAAAACAAAAGAAGCTATTCTTAACACACTGTAATACAGTAAAGTGTGTTAAAACAGCCAACAGTTTCAGTTAAATATATTAATACTGATGGTGTGTCGCAAAAAGAAAAAACTGATTTGAATTGATTGAACTGATGTTGAATGATTCAGATCGGATGCCATAAAAAAAATCTGTTAAATACCTGACATTTGTGTAAAATCTGTAAAAACTGTTAGTTCAGAGCACACCGTCATGTTTATTCGATAATGTATTGAAAATATATATATTTTTTTACATGAGTCTCGTTTATCCTTGTTTCCCACAGCATGATACGTGTCCTGTGTGCCGGAAGAGTCTTAGCGGACAGAACACAGCAACAGACCCACCAGGGTTATCAGGAATGAACTTCTCTCCCTCCTCCTCCTCCTCTTCCTCCCCCAGCTCACCTAGCAATGAGAATGCTACCAGCAACTCATAGATTTTCACCTCACATCCGAAAACCTCACAACATACGTCAAACGAGACCCAACGTCTCCTCTCTACAGCTGAGACCAGGACAGTTGTCCGTTTCAATTCAAGGGGACAAAATGAGTTGAGGTGCAGACTGTTAGTTATCATTCCTCCCCCTGTGCTGAACGGACGCTGGGTCCAGCTTCTGCTGCTATTGTTGCTGAGTATTTGAGGAGGTGGGACTGGGCAGTGTTGAAGGAGGATCCAGAAAGGATGTGAATAATAATAATAAAAGTGGGATTGTGACCAGAACTGGAGCGGAGTTTGAGCCAGAGTGGACTGCTTTTTGATGGAGATGTGTCTGCCATGAGTCTAGGACACATTTTATATTTTAAAGACAAATGCTCTTTTAAAAAAAAGATTTAAAAAAATCCTGTGGTGGTGCAGAGTACATAGATGTGTAGATAGAGAATTCATTTTGAACTGTCAGCAACTGTACAGCTAATGGATAAAACTACAACCTTGTGGAAGGGAGTGTATGCATCTGATTTTTATTTATTGGCACATTTGTTTTTTTTAAATTTTGCACAAAATTCTGTCTGATGTTGCAACACAATCTCACTCCCAACTCGTCACACATGGACGCTTGGTCAAGACCCCTTGGTGCCGCTTTTTAACGCCTGGGTACCCCTTTAGTGTTGTTTCTGCAGGTGTTAGGGCTTCGTGGTTCGAAAGGTCCACAACTTTCGGTTAGACTTTTCATATAAAACTAGTGGTTAGTGTTTTAAAATGTTGCTATTTAGTTAGGTTGAGGCACCAAAATTACTTGGTAAGATTTAGGAAAACATCATGGTTTGTGTTAAAATAACTGTATGTTACTTAAGTGACTTAAGTTACGTATGTTACCTAATGTACTTTCTTAATGTAACTATAATTAATCACATGTTGACTTTTTGTTTCACACAGGAAACAAACACTGGCCTCCTGGGTGAATGTCCAATTTCTGGCCCGTCCACCCCAACTACCTCCTTACTCTGACTTTTCTGTTATGTTCTATTTATGTACTACAACTGCTTTCAGCATTCAAAAATGACGCTAAAGAGCTTCTCCTTTATAGAGATTATGGTTGAACTATGACGCTAAAGGGCTTCCCGGTGTGTTACAAACTGATGCCAAGGGGTCATGACCATGCGTCCATATGTGACAACTTGGGAGTGAGAACGGGTTGGATGTTGAATGTGAATTTGGGTAAACTACTGAGCAAAAAAAAGAAAAAGATTTTTTCACACTTTTGCATTGAATAAGTCTTTTAGGACTTGTGTCTTTTGGTTTATCCTGAAAAGGTAAAGATCCACACAGCTCTAACAGTGGATGCATTTTTATTCCTCAAGTGAAAAAGTCGCAAATCTACTTATTTATTGAAGCCTTGCCCAAGATACAAACTGAGCATTGTAAAAGGAAAAAGGATATCTAAAAAAAGGCATGGGGATCATCTTACCTCTATGGAACTGACCAAATGTGTTTATTATTTTATTTACTGATTTTTCGTACAGTCACAATAAAGCGCTAAAACAAACTGATGTGGAGGTTTCTGCTGATAATGTGCATTTTCAAAATGTTGTCCTATGGGTACTGATTCATTTTCCACATTTAATAATGCTTCAGTATCAAACCCCATTTGTTTTTTATTAGGAGAAAGACCATAGCTTTACTTGCCAAGGGGAGAAGTAAACAATGAAAATGTTGTTGGCCTGCTTTTCTCTCGATAAGGAGGGCTGTCTGGCACAGGTCGGGGGATGGATACAAGACCGTTTCCACATCACTGAACATCTCTTGGAGTACAATAATGTGACCAAAAACAACACTTCCAATGGGGGTGAATTAAGTTTATTGCCTCTCTTAAGTTTGTCCTTGTTAGCAATGGTGTTGACAAAACTCAAAATAATGTTGATAAAATGAGGCCTTCAACTACCTCCACAAACTGGGCAGCATGCCAATCTTGCATTTAGCGGCTCAAAATCAAAGTAGAACATAAATGTATTTGTCACATTGACAGCGAGGCCAGGAAATTTACAGCAATAATTAACAAGCAGGTGGTGACTGCGTCATCGCACCAGGGACCTGAGAGGTTTTCATATTCAAATAAATAGCAATAACAAATTAAATTTACATTCCCGATGGTTCCAACATTGCCAGTTCAAATAGATGAGGTGTTGCCAAATATGAAAAGCTGTTAATTTGGTTTTAATGGCTTATTTACATCACTGTGACAGAACAGTGGCTGTAGTTTATAAATTTTGTCTTAATTTGTTTTAAAACTGGGGGAAAAGATGTGCAGATTATGTAATTCCTCTCATTTGTTTTTACTAGTTCAGGACCTCTGTTTTTTGCTCCACACCAATAAGGCCATCACTTAATCGTCTCTATATAGGTTAACACTCTTCATTTTGATTAATGGTTAAACCCTTTTAGCTCACATACTTCAACATCTGCCCTCTTGTCTCCAGAACACTTCTTTTACTTTTATTGCCATTTCAGTGAATCACTGTCTTTTTTGGTCTACATCACCCGACCAGGAAATTATACTAAACCTTGAGCTGTGTAGTTTTGCCTATTAAAGAGGAGGGAGGATGGTGGAGAGAGTGAGGCAGTGAGAAAGGATGGGGAGGGGAGACAGAGATGATGCTTATGACTTCTCAGCACTGATGTCAAAAGGTAAAAAAAATTAAACAAGATAATTAAGCACTAACCTGAAGTTGAATTCTTATTTGTTTTTTCAAGAAAAGGTGATATGTAGCAGAGATGGTATGTAAATTAAGTGAATGGCGCCAGTTACATTCATATTGCTATTGGTAAGTAGGCCTATGTGAGCATGTGTGTGTAAAACCTAGCTATCCATTACACATGTGGCCAAAATTAGACTCAACCAAAACTAGATCACAGAAAATAGGCTAGCTACTTTATCTCTTCTAAAGTGACAAAGCACAATGTCATCATGAGCACCCATCCTCATGATACTGCTCTGTAGCTTTGGCCACTGGCACAAACATACATTTAGGCTATATTAAACTAATCTAACATCTTCCAATAGATTTGCTAATGGAAATGCATTTACTAATGCACTACATACGTGGAACCAGCCGTTTCTATGCTCATACCATGCAGTTTGAAATAAGAGCACCCCATCAGTGACGCTGAACCTGCATCTGAACAGCATAGTTCTGTCTAGGCCTACAAATACCTCTGCTGTAGCTTACTCGTTGACCCTTGTTACAGGTTGTATCTGCACATATTATGCAGTATAGCTGACTAAGCTGACTGCTTCTGAATGTTAAAGCATTTTGGTCTGTCAACTGTTGAAAGAGGACGTGTGTAGCTAACTGATTACTCCTCAGTCCTTTTTTTGGTGTTTTGCCATACTCACGGTTTTAGAAAATGAGGACTCAGAATGCACAGTGCCTACCAACACGCAGGCCCTACATTTTTCTTGCTTGGAATATGTATGTCTACTTTCAATATGCTAAAAAAGCCTACTGTACCCGTACCCCTCGACAAGATCCACATTTGTACTCCTGTCGTCTGCGCCTCTAAACTTACAAGGTCAGACTCCAGAAAATAATAATAATAATAATGATAATCTTTATTTGTAGAGCACTTTTCAAAAACAAGTTACAAAGTGCTTTAACAAGTGTAAAGACAATAATACCCAAAAAACAATAATACAAAAACAATACAAGATAAAGAAAAGAAAAGACTAAAATACATGTTTAAGATAAATATAAAATTAGTAAAATAGAATAAAATAAAAGGGATAAAAATAAAGTCAAATAAGATCGGGAAAGGCTCTCCTATAAAAGTATGTTTTAAGAAGGAACTTAAAAGAGTTCACTGACCCAGCTGACCTGATTTCCTCAGGCAGGCTGTTCCAGAGCCTCGGGGCCCTGACAGCAAACGCGCTCTGTCCCCTTTAGTTTTCAGTCGAGACTCTGGAACAGACAACAGACCTCTGCCCGAGGATCTCAAGGTACGTGCTGGTGTGTATGGGACTAAAAGGTCAGAAATATAACAAGGCGAGAGGCCATGAAGAGCTATAAAAGTGATCAATAGAATCCATCCATCCATCGTCAACCGCTTATCCTGCGTACAGGGTCGCGGGGGGGCTGGAGCAAATCCCAGCTGACATCGGGCACAAGGCGGGGTACACCCTGGACAGGTCGCCAGTCCATCGCAGGGCCACACATAGACGAACAACCACTCACGCTCACACTCACACCTAAGGACAATTTAGGGTAACCAATCAAACCAATGAACCCACGACCTTCTTGCTGTGAGGCAACAGTGCTAACCACTGCCCATGTGATCAATAGAATTTTGAAGTCAATTCTAAAACATACTGGGAGCCAGTGTAATGAAGCTAAAATAAGAGTAATGTGGTCATATTTCTTGTTGTTCTGGTTAAAAGCCTGGCAGCTGAGTTCTGGACAGTCTGGAGTCGATCAATAGATTTTTGGTCTGTGTGTCCTTAAAAGTTAACATAGATTGAATTTTTGCCATATTTCTTCTTGTCGATAAAAACATGATTGAACAAGCTTTGTGGTTTGCTCCTCGAAATTTAAATTACTCTAAACCAGACACCAAGGTTCTTTGCAACAGGCTTAATGTGATTTACTAGGGAACCAGCAGATGGCAGTCAAATAAGATGTTTTGCCATCTGCTGCGACCCAATGACCAGGATTTCTGTTTTGTCTGAGTTCAGCTAGAGGAAATTATTTGACATCCATTTTTTTAACTTCACAAAGGCAGTTGTTAACTCAGCATTCCAGGGTCTGTGGATCTGACGGGCAAGTATATTTGTGTGTCATCAGCATAAATATGAAAAGAAATGCCATGTTTATGGATAATATGTCCAAGGGGAAGCAGATACAAGGAAAACAAAATGGGTCCTAAGACCAACCCCTGAGGTACACCATATTTAACTGGACAGAATGAAGAGACATAAATTGTTTACAGACACGCAAAACTTCCTATTTGACAGGTAGGATGAAAACCATTCTAGGGCAGTACCAGAGATCCCCACCCAGTGCCTCAGTCTGTCTAACATGATGTTGTGATCAATGGTGTCAAAAGCAGCGCTAAGGTCCAGGAGTACCAGGACTGAGCACATGCCTTCATCAGCAGACATTAAAAGGTCATTGGTGACTTTAAGCAGGGCAGTCTCAGTGCTGTGGTACTTCCTGAAACCAGATTGAAACTTTTCAAATATTTTGTTATTTTCCAGTACAGTGAGCAGCTGTTTGGACACAATTATTTCTAGAATCTTTGCAATAAAAGGCAGTTTGAAAACAGAGATCAAATGAGGCCCAACAGAATCCATTACTTTCAGTAAAAACTTTGTAGGTATTACATCAAGTGGGCTGGAGGACACTCTCATTTGTGATACTGTTTTTAAAAGCTCAGACAAGTCGATGGGATAAAACTGGTTAAAACTCTCTTGTTGCTGGTGAGGGACCTCTGAGTAAGAGGCCGCGGGGGTAATAGAGGCTCTGATTGACACCACCTTATTGGTAAAATAAGATAAAAACAATTCACAGTCATCATTACTTCCAGCTGAGGCACAAGGAGGGGTTGGGTTTACTAGCTGATCCACAGTCTTAAACAGAAACCTGGGGTTGTCTTTATGTGTAGTAATGAGTTCAGAAAAATAGTGTGTTCTCGCATCCTTAACCATGTTATTGTAGTTAATTAATAAATCCTTCAGACTGAGGTAATGGACTTGGAGACTGGATTTTTTCCATCTGCGCTCTGCTTTCCTGCATTCCCTTTTGAGGCTGCGAATGCTGTCATTTATCCAGGGTTGCTTACTAGCTTTAGACGTAGGCCTAACCTTTAGAGGAGCAGTAATATTTAGTGACGACAAGCAGATATGATTGAAGTGATCGACCAGATTGTTGGTGTTAGAATCAGACAGGTGTTGGCTTTGGCTCTGAAAGAATGTGCAAAACTTTGAATCACTTTGTTCATTAAAGATGCGAGAACACACAGAGCTTGGTGAGGCGGCATGAGTAACAGGGGAATCGCAGCTAAAAACAATACATCTGTGGTCAGATATGGTCATGTCCACTAATTCCACAGAGGAAATGCTGACACCCAGGGTAAAAACCAAGTCCAGTGTATGACCACGGTTATGTGTTTGCCCTTTGACATGTTGTTTGAAGTTAAAAGAAGTGGCCATATTTAAAAAGTCAGTTGCATTAACATTGTTGGGGTCATCATCATGAATATTAAAATCGCCACAAAGAACAATTCTGTCATAATTTAAAACCAGAGTAGATAAAAAATTCAGGAAGTTCTGATAAAAATCCTCCAGGCGGTTTTGGGGGGCGATAAATGATAACAAATATGATAGGTTGCAGCCCTCCAACTTTAAGAGTGAGAACTTCAAAGGAGTTAAATTCATCACAGTGTACTTGATGACATTTTAAATTTTTCCTATACACGCTCACTACCCACCACCACAACCACTGACCCTCAGTTGACTAAAACAATCATATTGAGGCGGACACAGTTCAGCTAGCTGGCTATAGTCATTCATTTGCAACCAGGATTCAGTTAAAAACATAAAATCTAGATTTGCAGACAAGATAAAATCATTTAAGATAAAAGTCTTACTTGAAAGTGATCTCACATTGAAGAGAGCCATTTTAAATGAGTTTGTTCTGGGTGCTGGAGTTGGTGCAGTTGTCCTAATCCTTAAGAGATTACTAATATTTCTGTGTGGGATGTGCACATTTCGGTTTACTGGTCTATGCGTGATGATGATAGGAATAGAAGTCTGTGGAACAGCGCTGGGAGCAGACGGCTTTACATGCCAGCAGGTGGAGACAGTTGTTTGTGGCAGTGAGGCAGAGATCTGTTCAGTGACCGGTGGTGTGTCTAGGTGTGCTGCATGAATGATTAGTCATTCACGTAAGTCATGTGTGGACCGCACCACATGCTGTATGTAATATAGCCTGCCTTGTGAGAAGTGGGAGGTACAGTAGGCTATGTTCCCTCAGGGGCATGAACCCAGCTACAGGCACTCTAAAGATCAGGGACAGATGACATGTGTGACAATAAATAGCTATACCTTTTTGTAGAGACCTGCGACTGTAGACCGGTTCTTGTTTCTGACCACGTGCCTTTGACAAGGGCTGACACTTCCATTGTGTCACAATCACATTGAACATTAGTCTTACTTCTGTGCCACCCCTGTACGGCCGCTAGACTGCGCTAAACACCAACTATGTGTAACATCAATTGAAGGAGGTTGTCATTGAAAAAACCTTCTAAAACATGACATCATTGGAGTTTTCATTAACACGTGGTAATTAAACTTTTGATGTTACCATATAGCGTGACTGACTACATGTTAAGCATCTATTTCCGTGTGATTATCTGGAAACAGCTACTTGAGGCAATTCAGGCTGTAGGTTATGACTGAGAGGCCTCAGCTGGGAGCAGCTTGATCTGAATTAGGATTAGCACAAGCTAATAGTTTAATGATATCTGACGCAGTCAAAGGGCTCACTTAGTTTGACGCTTGAGCATCTTTGACACAATGACTAGGGAAAGTAAAAGCGCAGTTTGCAAAGAAGTCACGTCCACCCCTCCCTCTGTTCCTCTCTCCTTTCTCTCTCCCCCTCTCTCTTCTTCTTCTTTCCATCTCCCCTCTATATCTGATTGGTTTTCTCCAAAGACAATTGGAGGCAAAATTTGATATGCTCAATGTCATGGACAGGAATGAGGTTTCACCGGCGTCTGATGCCACCATGAAGAAGAAGGCGGTAGGCAGCAGTGGATGCAGCCGCATCAGCGCTCCCAAGGCTGCCACGTCCAAATGCAAAAGAAGCAACAGCAGCCAGAACTGCTTGGACTCCGGTTCTCCCTGCGCACCGAGTGGTAGGCAGCCCGGCGCGGCCAGCAACGTCGTGATGGACGAGACGGAGGACGGCGAAGAGGAGTCTAAGTTTCAGCATCCGCGGTTGCGCCGTGCCGGGGGGAGCGGCAGTGGCGGAGGTGGAGGAGGAGGAGGCGGCAGTATCAGGATGAAGAACTTTACGCCAGGAGGGGGAGCCGCGTCCTCGGGTTCCAGGAGAAACTCCAACAAGGAGCCCTGCCATACACACGCAGAGGACGCTCCTGCCGCCCCACGGCCCACTGCTACCTCCCGAACCGAGACCCAGACACCTTGTCCGGGCGATGCTGCCCAGCGCACCGAGACCAGCAGAGCATCTGGGGCGGAGGCGTCGGAATCAGCGGTCACGGTAGAGATTTTAAACGCCACAGCAGGTGATGGTTGCAACAGCGCCGGTCCAATTTCCAGCATGAAATGCAACAAAAACGGAGAATGCAGGAGGGACTCGGGTACCGGGAGCCTTCGCTCAATCATCTCCAAGCAGGAGAAGCAGACAGGGGGGTCGGGGAGGGCCGAGGACGGAGGGAGCGCAAAGCGAGGAGCCTGTAACTCGACCACCGCCAGCATGGACGGCTCGATCACACCAGGCGGGTCCTTGACAGGAGGGCACGGAGGAGAAAGCGCAAACCCCGGCGCTACCCCCGTGTCCAGCGGTGTCCCCGAGAAAAAGGACTCCAAGGTGTCCTTCTCTAACGCACCAAGCCGGAAAGCATCGTCCTCACTGCACGGCCCGACTCAGACTCAGCAGCAGCCCAGGAACTCTGTCACTTTCCAGAAGCCGGAGGATGGACCGCCAATTGTGCCCGCCGAGGATGCGGAGCCTCGGGGCAGCCAAGCCAGCTTCATGCAGCGGCAGTTCAGTAGTATGCTGCAGCCTGGAGTCAACAAATTCTCCTTACGCATGTATGGTAGTCAAAAAGCAGTGGAGAGAGAGCAGGAGAGGGTCAAATCAGCTGGAAATTGGATTATCCACCCTTACAGCGATTTCAGGTAAGAGCTGGAGGCTACCATTGGTTGCACGTTGAAAGTCATGAAGGGCCCATATGGTCCTCATTGTCATCTACAACTCACTTTGTAGTGAGTAACCACTCCATGGTAGCACACGCATGGTTATTGTTCAAGGCTATGACTGCTGCTTTTTCATGTCATCCCTTATGATTGAATCTGCAGAGATTTGAATCGATGCATTGCAATGTGCTGCCATTGATCCCCCCAAACAACCTGTTGTCGGGCAGATGGTCTTTAGCAAAGTGTAGACTATCCTTTCAAGGTTGTAAACAAATCCCCCGAGTCTGTATGTACAGTAGCATGTCTGTGGTACCCAGCAAGCCCGGCCTGCTAACACATCTCGACTTGTCAGTACGATCCTGTTTAACAAAGAGAACAACGCTCTGGCTCATTTAAAATGCCACAATTTTCAAAGATCTGTTTAATATTCGTTGTAGTATAAGCTATGCTCTGCAACAAGAGCCGTGCTGACAGAATGTAGGCTGTGTGTATGTGTGCATGCGATGCAGTCAGTAATGGAATGTCACCTTGAGCCAAGTGTGCAAAAACCGCAAGCATGTTCACTGAAGACATATCCGCCTGTACGACTCCCCAAATCCTGTATTTTAATGACGGGTGCTCTCTGTTAATCACGGCTCTAACACTGATAACCCAGATGGACACCCAGCAGTTATTTTGTCATACAAATATTTGCTTATATCTGCGAGCCGAGAAGGCTCCTCCTTGCTTGGGCTTGATGAATTAGCCTACAAGCCTCTTTTTCCCCGACATGTACCAGCCGCTGAATTGCATTTGGGTCAGAAAATCAGTAGGTTTTACTCTCGACTGGGCTGCTTTGTTTCAGCACCACATGGGGTGGACAGCTCCCGTCTAATTTGGAGTCTGCTCGCGCGTCCATTCATGTTTGGCCCATTTGTATCACATAACGCCGAGTCAGTAGACTACTAAATGCTAAACTTGAGACATTCAACAGCAGATATTGGACGGCCACTTTGAGAGACCTTTCTCTACCATGCATACTCCCTCAGCCAAAGCACGAAGTTTTAGCCTACAAGGTCCTCCGTGATGGCATGCAAACGCATAGGTTAAAAAAAGTTGCTTCAAACATTATCATCAACGCGTTTATTGTTGTTGCCGTGGAGTGGAGGAGTCGAGCTTGTTGCATAAGTCGCAGTGTAATGACTCAGCGCTGCACCTGTCCTGCAGAGCTTCCTCTGACGGGCTCAGACCTCACTACTTTTACTCTGTCTGTCCCATTCACCAAACTGCCACATCACTATGGCAGTAATAGCAGGACAGCCTCCTTTTTTGTCTCCATGTGTGGGCTACTGAAAGGTCGATAAGTGCTCCAAATGCAGTCTAGTGAATGGAAACTGGAAACAGCTAAAGAAACTTATTAACATGTTTTTTATCGGCTTTATACTTCATTTCTTTTCCTAATTTTATGAGAGTTGATTGTAAACCTAATTTAGTTTGCTACAGAGACGGTCTGAAAATAACTTCAGTTTGGGGTCTGAGAGATCCTGGCTGTATCTGTGATATTTGTGATATTACTTTTTATGCAGCATGACTCCTCCCAAAGTCTATTTGGATTTATCTTATTGGAGTTTTACAATACTTTGTTCATAAGATGTTTAATTTAAGTAACATCACTATGAAGGCTAACATATGGACTATATAAAATATGCCCGTAAATCCTATAAAGCATGAAATATTTCTGTGCCCAAACATTTGAACAATTAATTGTGCAATTATAGTTCTATCTTTTTATATAGTATTGGGGAAGTGTAAGTAAAGCCATTGTCAGTGAAAGAAGGGTTAAGAAAGGAGGTTGAAAGTTACTTCCATCTTTTAACACATTTCAGTCATCTTTTGATAATTCAAACCTTGAAAATGCAGCCCGAAAAGCACATTAACATCAGCCATGCATATAAAATTATCTTTTTTACTCAATGAGCAGAGGCGATCATAAGAATCATTTTGAACATAAAATGCATGGATAAATTGCTTATGATTAATTACTATAGTATGTGAATCTTGGAAAAAGTAAGTTCAGCAGAATATCTCCCTCCCCTCTTTCCCTGCTTTCTGCATGTTCAGGCAGGCAAAGTGGAGCTCCTGCACTTCGTTCACACTTTTCCATCATGAGTTAGGAAGTCTCTTGTGCCTATCAGCTTTCTACAGCAACTCACTTTTCTTATCTGACTCTAATTTTGTCTTCCCCCCTCTCAATTCCCCCCCTCCTGTACTCTACACACACACACACACACACACACACACACACACACACACACACACACACACACACACACACACACACACACACACGACTGCTAGGTTCTACTGGGATTTCACAATGCTGCTGTTTATGGTGGGCAACCTGATCATCATCCCTGTGGGCATCACCTTCTTCAAGGACGAGACCACTACACCCTGGATCATCTTCAATGTGGTCTCGGACACCTTCTTCCTTATGGACCTGGTGCTCAACTTTCGCACTGGAATCATCATTGAGGACAACTCAGACATCATTTTGGACCCTAAAACTATTAAAATGAAGTACCTAAAAACTTGGTTCATTGTGGACTTTATCTCCTCCATCCCAGTGGATTACATATTCCTCATAGTAGAGAAAGGTATCGACTCAGAGGTGTACAAGACTGCGCGGGCCCTGCGGATCGTTCGCTTTACCAAGATCCTAAGTCTTCTGAGGCTGTTGAGGCTCTCCAGATTAATACGCTACATTCACCAATGGGAAGAGGTAAGAGCATACATTTTTAATGACTGTCCCTCAGTAAATATTATATTAACACTAATCACACAACTCTCAGCCACAGTGGAAGAAACAGCCAGCCATTGATGAAAGGTCATTGATTTGCCTCCAATATGCTGATGTTGGCTCGTGACCAAACCAACAATCTGCCTCTTTGTACCTGCTCCGAGCAGCCTGCTTTCCTCTGCCTGGAGGCTCAATATTAATGTTCTCACCTGCCACCTGGTGAGAAATGTATGATGTCAGCAGGATGTTTGAGCTTTAACAAACTTTACATTCAAATTACTGTTGTCACAAACACACATACACACAAACTCACACAACCCTACCCCTCTGTCTCCTCTTCTGACCCGGCAGTCCCACAGGTGGCATCAGACGGTCTAATAAGCAGCCTATTAACCAGGGCAAACACAGTTAATCAATTAAGGTGCCAGAAGAAGAGTAGGTGGGGTAGAGGGTGACGATAATGTGCAGCACTAGGAGGCTGTTGACTGCGATTATGTGTGTCACTAATTGTTCATTTAAAGGGATCGGAGAGGTTAGGCCAGCTGGCATTTCCTCAGAGGCCTGACTGGCAGACTCTGGATGTGAAGATGGGTGCTGCTGCCAGGTAGATTCCCCGCTTCTTCTAGACTAAACTCAAAGACCCAGTCCTGCCCTTCCTGGCCACTCAGCTTTTCTTTACTCTGTGAGGGATACACTTTGTTGTGGCCCTCTCCAGCCTGTAGTTGGACTTCTTCCTTCCAACGGTGTCATGAGATCACTCGACTTTTCGTTTAGGCCAGTATCGGCAGCCTGGTGTTGGCATTTTGCAGTGGTGAGCAGCGCAGTGAGGCTCGGCTGCTGACTTGACCTTTAGATAATTGGATTTTTGAAGATATGATGCAATGCGCACACATACACACAGTGGCATGTGATGGGAAGTAATACTTGGCATGCATGGAGAATGAGAGCGGAGATGTGGTGGAGAGTGAGAACCTGACACAGGAAATGCCCAGTTTTTATCTCTTTGATGTTATCTATCATAGTTTATTTTGAAAATCCAAGAATCTGAACTACTTTTAGTTCCTGTTAAGTTTCTTGGAGCTGTCCAAGGTGCTGAACATCTCCATCAGCCAGCACAACGCCACTGTGTACAGCAGTTTATCTTATCCATCCTCACAAATATGACAAAATACTCTATTTTGTCAGTTTCTGATTGATAAAAAGTGAGTGAAAAGCCCATAAAGGTTAAAGCGGCAATTAGAAAGATCAGCACATGTGATTCATGTAACAGTCCTTATCACTCCCATCACAGAGTATCACTTCTCCCTCAGCTGCACTGAGTACTAAATGATCTATTTCTCATTCCTTCATAGTAGACTTTATCAGACCTTCCTACCTGTTTTACTATGAAAAGTATTGTAATTTCCACTGATTTAGACTCACTGATTATTATGGTATTAATTGCAGCCATTAAATTGTTAAGCGTCAACAATGAGTGGTTTCTTGAAGTCAGTCAGGTGATATATAATTGGCCTAAGTGACTGTCCAGTGTATCAGAATGATTGATGTGTGAGACGCCATGGACTATCAGTTGTTAAGGATCATGATGGTCCCTGTCCATCACTCTGTGTGTTTGAATGTTTGTATGTGTATGTGCTGACATGTCTGTCTGCGTTGTTAGTGTATCAGTGTGCCTGCAGGCTTGCGTGAGTGTTTTGTGCATGTGACTGGACTCTGCGTGCGTGTGTGCTTCTGATTGATGTCATGTATCTCCGTGTAACAAATGTCTTGCCTGCTCCTGCTGTGTTTGATTTGGGACTGATGGGAACCCATCTCCCCTACTCATTAATCAGACTGGGTATTATCAAAAGGAGACTATGGAGCTGAGTGGGAGGCCAGTCCTGCCACTGAGATGTGAAGTTATGAAAGCCATATTCTCTGAGCTCATGTTCCAAATCCAACATATTCTCTATCTCCACATGTCTCAGCTCAGTTTAAACTCCCCTCCTTGTCTTATTGTCTTACTCCAGATCTTCCATATGACCTATGACCTGGCCAGTGCGGTGATGCGGATCTTTAACTTGATTGGTATGATGCTGCTGCTATGTCACTGGGACGGCTGCCTACAGTTCCTGGTTCCCATGCTGCAGGACTTCCCCTCAGACTGCTGGGTGTCCCTCAACAAGATGGAGGTTTGTGTCAGGGAATCATGTATCAGCGTGTCAAGTTGCACATATCACCCCGGAACTGGATTTCCATCAGGATGTTGTCATCAACAGAGGGAAACCTCAAATCTGTATATGATCTTTTGCATTTGAAAGAGCTTTATTTTATTTTGAAGACCAGAAAATGTTTTGTTGTCAACTGATCTTTATGGCCACAAAATTAAATCGATTGGTAGTTTAGTCTCTTAAAGTATTGGAGCAACATGACTCATCCAACAAAGATGAGCATTTATTAAAGATTGATGAGTCTTCCTTTACAAGGGTAAGCAATAATAAATATACTATAACTCATTTTAACAAGTGTCTACAGCCACACTAGCATCTCTGAGGCTGTATTTTAGGCACATTGGTGCTTTGAGCTGAATGCTAACAGCAGCATGCTAACAAGCTCACAATGATAATGCTAACATGCTGATGTTCAGCAGTTATAATGTCTGTCATGTCAAATATCTTAGTTTGGTGTGTGTGAGTATACTAACATTCGCTATTTAGCACTAAATACAAAAAACCGAAGTACATGTTAAACTAATGACATTCCCATCAGTCTAATATGTACCTTGTACCTTGTATACAGTAAGTACAGATTAGGCTGACTGACAAATAAAATTTTGACCTAATGATGGTGCAAGAAGAAAGGTCGGGGAAACAACATGACAAAAGTCATTAGGATTCACCCTCTGGGCAAAATTTCATGTCAATCCATCCAACAACTGTTAAGATATTTCAGTCTGGATGAAAGTGGTGGACCAACATTTCCATCCCTAGAGTCATGCTGCTGGTGTGTTTAAAAAGGAACGGTCCCCTGGATGGTCTGTGATAGTTTTATATACAGTAAGTTCGATCAATATGGTTCAGTTTGAAAACAGTGCGCCGCACTACTCAGGGAGCCATTACTGTATTATCCTAAGCTGCTGCTGTTGCAATTATGCTAATACTGATTCAGGAGTAAAAGTCAGTATTTCCTTCCAACAAATCAAGAAAATTACTCATATCACCGCTCGCTGCACTAGCATTTAGCCGGTATGGCAGAGAAAACAAGCATAAGATACCAATGAAGAAGCTGTGACAAAGAAAGAGAGAGTGATTTAAACACCTCTAGATCCCTCTGTGCCTCCTCTTCAGCATGGTGGAGTGATGACAGGAAAGATAAAAGGGGAAAACAGAGGGAAGCGGGGGAAATGGCCAGGCAGCTGGGCTCTTTGTTGCCGTGTCTCTCTCAGAGAGATAAAAGCTGGTTGTTTATTGGTCTGTCTCTCAGCCCAGCCTTTTACTGAGTGAGGGGAGACCATACTAACCCAGACAAGAGGCACAGGCCCAAATGGGGTTTTAAATAGATTGGGTCCTGCACCCCGACATTGTCAGGGCCTGCCATGACTACTTGTAAATTTCCGTTTTGAAGTATTTCCTGGATGACAGCACTGCCGCTTGTTTTTTATTGCTGTACAAAAGTAATTTCGATTAAAACAAGTTAATGTGGTGATGAGAATGAATGTCCTCTCTTTTATGTTGGTGAGAGGGAATGTTTGTTTAATGTGTCAAAACGAGACATTCTGCAGTTTTACTGGCGCCGTTTTCTAGAGCTAGACAACACTGACAAAATCATATATTACAATATTGGCTCAGGATCTCAGTATCAATAATGTGAGGAATATTTTGGGTCTGACAGATGTTGCTTTCATGTAATATTTAATCAAAATTAGCTGATGGTGACATGATCACAGAAAAAAGAACTGCTACGTACTAAGGTTGCAAAAGAAGCAGAACAATTTGAAATTCATATCACTCTAAAATCACTCTGGCTAAAAATGCATTTAAGTTCAGAAAGTAGATCTACATTAATCTAAGACAATATAAAAGAAAACATTTAAGCTACATGTACCTCATTGTTACAATAACCAGAATGCAGACATTTAGAGACGTGTGTCCACTGTCCCTGAGACTGACTGTCAACCATATCCTCATTAAGTCTTTGATGTTATGAACTGTAAACAAAACAAAAACAAAAGAAACAACTTGCATTGCCTTAAACTGCATCCTTCTAGTGAAATACACACACACCTCTGAATATAACAAAGAAAATACAGGTAATAATAATAATAATAAAGACTATAAGCAAAATAGAAACAATATAGTAAAGCAGAGTAACATGCTGATGTGCTGAAACAATTAGTCAATAGATAATTGATTAGTAGTCTACAAAAAATGTATCATAAAAAAGTAACTATTTTTAAAATCAATTAATCATTTCAGTCATTTTTTTAAAAATTCAGTAGTTCCTGCTCTTCCATTGTGATAAAGCGACTTTTCTCTGTCTTACATCATTATGTCACTTAATGGAGAATATAATTTGCAGATAAATTGCTAATGAAAATAATCACTGCACTCCCAGATGTAATATCAATACACTGTTATCCAGCTATAGCCTGCTCAATCTATTAATATGGGCTTGCTTTTATTTCGTGTGTATAGTGTAAAAATGGTGTAAACTGTACAGACCTTCCCTATAAAGCACAGCAAGTATGACTTTAACTTAATATTTCTGTTTTTATAAACTCACGTGATACACAAGATTACAACCTTGTGCAGAGTTTGAAGTCCGGGATGATGAAGTTTGGGGCTGACAGGCCACTGACAGCACTGACAGTCAGTCTCCAGAGAGCCGTCACTCTCAAAGTAAAGGGCCACGCTGGTATGGTACAGGCACCCTACAGCCACCTGAGACCACCCCCCCTATTGAGTGGCTGACAACTTGTAACATTAGCCATTGTGTTGCAGCCAGGCCATCCATCAAGCCTCGCACCCTACAGTAGCTCTGGTGGTGTGGCGCCCACAGGCAGGACCCATGGTGGGCGTTGAGAACACTCTGTAACTCTGGATGACATCCACCAACCAGTAATTAGATTCGGTCAAACTTGTAATACCCCAGGGAACATTTTGTTGTTGTTTTTTGCAATACATCTCAACTTCCATCCGTTAATTTTATTTAGTTTATATTTAGCATTAGCTTTACACAGCCTTGTCAGCCACGTAGTTAATTTCCATGGTAGGTGGCAGAGCCTCACTGTGTCAGTGGAGTACTGAGGCGACTGGGTAATAATAGTGACAGCAGCGCTAACTGACAGACACAGGGTGTACAGTTTCAACTCTGTAATTACAACTGTGTGTACCCATCCCTTGCTGTATCCACATCACAGAGACGTCTCTTTCATATTATCCCCCACTCTCATCAGCAGGAGGGGGCTTCGCAGTACAGTGGCTTGCTCTCTTGGAGAAGATAATCCGGTAATTACTACGTATGGTGTTAAATCACTTTATTTACTCACAGCAGCTAGTTTGACCAAACATACTACGGGCCTACTGCTGGACATTGCAAATTTGATTTGAGCTTCTCACTAGGTCTGTGTGTATACAGTGTATAAACATGAAAGGTGAAAGCTGCTGTGTAACCTCTGTAAATTGACAAGAAATTAGGTGGTGTTTGTTTCCCAGGCGAGGAGGAAAAATAATGTTATTATCTCAATCCCAGAGGAATTCAGGTGTTTTTGTTCTTATGGACCTCATTGTGCTGAGGACAAGCAGTTCTCCAATATTCTACTTAAGCAAAGAAGTGCTGTTACTGCACTTAAACATCACTCCAGCAGCAGTGAGTTTACTTGAGTTAAAAAACTACTCAAGCAGAAGTGTACGTTTCTATCTTGAACACGGTTACTTTGTTACACATGTTCGCCCTGAAAGAGCCAATAACGCATCCTGATTTAAACCATTTCAAAGTGAATACATCCTGCCAAGCGAGCCCTCTCCAGTTCAGTGATACTCCACTATTGATCATCACATCTTAGTAAGAAATGTTCTTCAAAGATTGCTTTATGAGAATAAGATGTTCCAAGCAAACTCAGTGGTACAGACTTCAGACGGTGCCATAATAACTGATCTGGAGGCTTAATCGTTATTATAGCTTTTCCAGATGCGGCTGAATTAATCAAAACTCTTCACAGCCTTTACACATTAAAGAAATATGCAACAACATAAACATAAATAATGGGGGGGGGGACTTCACAGATTTTGCACATAAAGGTCAGTTATTAACTGGGGTGATGCAGTTTGAAAGATGTGGGCATTTACCAAGCATGTAAGCTATTATGTTGCATTGTGGGAAAGGTAGGATCCTACTTTTTTGGAGCTTGACCTGTACTAAAGATAAAGGCAAGGCAAGTTTATTTGTATAGAACATTTCAGTAACAGGGCAATTCAAAGTGCTTTACATAAAACTTAAAAGCATTGTAGGGAAATTAAAAAAGATATTGAAATACATTTTTAATTGGGTGTAATACAATATAAAATCAGGATAAAATAAATTTTAGTTAATAGAAAGTAAAAAACAGGATAAATCATTGCAGTGTAAGTTATTAATCTACAGCCTTAAATTTGATTTAATTTAAAGCTGTAGGGAAAAGTCTTCAGTCTTGATTTAAATTAAATGAGAGTTTCAGCAGACCTGAAAAGTCTAGATGGTTCATAATGAAGCAAAAGATCAGAAATGAATTTTGGCCCTTAACCATTCAGTGCTTTATTAACCAACAGCAGTATTTTAAAATCAATTATTTGACAGACAGGAAGCCAATGTAAAGGCCTTAGAACTGGAGTGATGTGATCCACTTGTTTGGCCTTCTCAAGCCAGCAGCATTCTGAATCAGCTGCAGCTGTCTGATGGACTTTTAGGGAGACCTGTAAATTAAAAGTCTCCCCCTGCTGCAATTGTTTTTAACCATTCCTTTTTAAAAAAAATCTGTCTCTCTTAATTTACCCAGTTTGTGCGGTACAACATTTCTGGAGTCGCCCTTTAGAAGAAGAATAATTAACTCACACTCACAAATATCAAAATGCATAAATACATTCATTAACAAAGTAATAAGAGTACTTAACAAAACTCTTAGAAAAACCCTTATTTGTTTTCTTGCTGATAGCGACATGAGGAGATCAATACCACTCACATACCTGTGTGTGAAGTACGGAGCTAGTGCGGGGGAGATGGCTAGCTTAATTTACAGCTATAACAGCTATATATACTGCATGTGTAGCCATCACGTAGTGTTCATGTTGATGGATAGAATACTGAGTGCCACTTTTCTTTTGACCTTAAAATGAACTGTCAGACGACGGGGGATGCCTTGACTTCCACACTCAGAAACATATTTCTCTGCCCACCCTACAGATTATACAGAGACAATGCACACTCACTGAGGCAGAGAGAGTCAAAGAGACGGAGAGAGTGAGCGAGAGGAAGCAGGAGACAGAGCTGACTGTGCAATAAACTCAAGCCACTGTAAACCTAACCGGTGTATGTTTGTGTGTGTGTGTGACAGGCCCATGCCAGAAGCTTTGTTACATGTGAGTTGATTATCTTTTGATATTTGTCCAGCTTATCAGCTGTCAGCCATGCATAGTGATTGGTAATTTGGAATTGGAAATGACTAATTTTTTAGTATCTGCTTCACCCTGTCTCTGTCATTTCTTCCTTCCTGCACCTATCAATCCTAAGCAGAGCCACAGGCTGTCCACCCTTGGTGCAGTGAGGTGTGAACTGATGAGACTGGTTACAGGTCACAAGTTCATTTGTGTTGCTCTTTGCACTTTTCAACATTTTTAGCCATGCTAGTGGCGTAGCTCTGGGGATGGAAATGTCGGTCGGTCGGTTGGTTAGTCAGTCCACCACTTTGGTCCAGACTGAAATAACTCAACAATTATGAGATAGGTTGCTAGAGCACTTTTATACAGTCATCCTTGCTCCCCAGAGGATGAATCCTGTTTTGGTGATCCCCGACTTTTCCTCTAGTGCCACCACGAGGTTGACATTTGTGGTTCAGAGTGAAATGTCTCGACAACTACTGGATGGATTAACATGCAATGTGGAGCAGATGTTCCCTTTTAAATGAATGACTTCGAAAACTAAGCGCTGATGATTATGAACATACAATACTGTGTGCAAAAGTGTAACACAGCTACGTACATATCTTAACAGTTCAGTTTCAAAATCAAAAGTTTACATTTGAATAAGACATAACAAGATTAATACAATCAAAACCATTCAATTAATAGCAATCAATAGCAGTTGTAAATTACAAAAACAAAAATAACAAATATAGATATTGTAAACTATAAATAAAGGTGAACAAGATTTAACCTGCAAAACACTGACACCCTAACACTGTAATGCTCATGACAAAGCTTTGATAAACCTTTCTGATATACTGTATGTTTTATATATGCAAGACCTTTTTCTGCTAAAGATTAAAAACACATTTTAGACTTTTTACTGTCTAGCATTTTGGTTCCAATGAGCATTACAGTCTACCTCGACTTAGTCTCATTGTCTTTTACCTTGAAATTAGCACATCTCCTGAGCCAAATGCTGGTACATTTTGGCAAAGCGGGGTCGCAGCAGCATGTACAAAGAGGCATTTTAGGACACTGGAAGATAAATTTAAAGCCCTTTGCGTTGTTAGCCAACTTCAAACAGACTATCTGCAGCTAATGGAGACGGCGATAACTAACAAAGCAACGGATAGATCCCAAACTGAAGTCTCTGGGGAGGGCTGTGGAGACCTATGTGGATATGGAGTCTCTCTCCCGTTCTGTCTTGCCTGTGCTATTTCAGAATCAAAGTGCTCATCATTCATCTATTATTCAATCTGTTTCACTCCACTGTTTCTCTTTCTGTTTTCACATACACCATTTAGCCTCAGCCCACTTGGTGGAGCTAGATTTATTTTTGGATTTTCTTCTGCTTATGACGGAGAAGTCCCGTGTGACCCTTTAATGTTGAGTCTCTTAGATGAAAACACACCCTTTGTACTGAAGCCATGTGCTGTTGTATTGTACATGGATTGTGTCCATTTGCTCTATATTTCACTTCTTTAGGGCAAGTAATGAGTGATTTAATTATTGATCAATCAATACTTTGTATTATTGTATTGATTTGTTCATCGTTTAATCAATATAACCTGAAGAAACAGTAATAAACGTCTGTTACAGTTTCCCAGAGCCTCCTTGAATAACAAATTATCAATGAAATAACAAAGAGATATGCAGCAAATATTCACATTTGAAAATATGAAATATCTGAAAAGATGAAACCAGACAATTTTTGCCATTTTTGCTTGATAAATGACTTAAACAATCACTTGATTATCAAAAATGTTGCCATATAATTTTTCTCAGTTGACAAATTGATTCATTTAAACAGCCATACACTGCATTATAATATCAAACATTAATACTACAATCATTGTTGCTAATATTTGTATCGTTGCTTTCCAGTAATAACAAATTGGGAACGTTTCTTAATTTAAACGAAGCATTTAAAAACTGATTGTATTGTCTGAGCAAAAATGCATCACCTCAGTGCTGAAAACTGCGTAGTTTCTCTTAGCTCATGAAAAGTTGGTGGATTTAACATGACAGTGACGGGGCTAATGTAGTTATTAGCCAGGGAAAGAGAAAGTGTGTTTTAAAATGTGATAGAAACTGCACTAATAGACTGTTAATGCACTTCTACAAGTTATAAGAGAGGATATAGTTGATTTTAGCTTTGCTATCTGAGTGCAGACTGTAACCTCTTTGTAGCCTGGTACAAATTTAGAGAGGAAGAGTGTGTGTGCGTTTGCGTGTGACGAACCATGATAGAAAAGGTTGGTTTGTGGTGCTCTAGAAGCCAGCCTCTAAGAGGTTTTCAGGATGCTGTTTTTAACTATATCTTTCAATGGACAGAACTGTGCTTTAATAATAATGTTTCATTACACAGGATACTAGTTTCTTTGGTAGAATCATTTAAATACAACCAGAAAACTTGGATGTCAAAACCCGGCTTTTGGCCTTACCTTGAATTACTTGGAATCAGCAATTTATTCAGGCCGAGGTCACCGCCGTTACCACTCTGTGCTAATGAAAGAAAAAAAGGAAACAAAGGAAGCTTGGTGGACAAAAGTGTTGGATCAATTGAAACTTCTTCAGATTGCTAAGTCCCCTTCCCCCACTTTTGAGACGAAAGTAGGTTAGGCATAAAACCACTGGAATAACACTGAACCACTATTTACCTTTAGGAAAGTATACTGAGTGTTGTTCAGATGTTCTCAAAGAGATCCAACAACATGACTAATGCCCCTTGATGTTTTTGTAAGTTATGATCTTAGGTTTGTCCCCTCATGAATCTCAACAGAAGCAACCTGATGACCGCTGCGTGGCTGTCGCTGCCTGTGGTATATTCCTCATCACACGGCTCTGAAAGGGCATATTTAATGACCTCTCATTATCATTCCTCTTTGAGAAAATAATTTCCAAACGTCTCTACTCCACTGATTAGGCCTCGAAGGATTCCCCTAATGTCATTTCCACTTCCTCCCTCTTTCCTTTTAATGCAACTCTGTCCCTGGAGTTGCTATTGCATGACCCTGTTGTTCCTTAATCTTTTCTTCTGGTTCCTTACTCACTGCCACCACTCTCCCTCAAGACATGCCCTTTTATGTAACACTGATGTCCTTAACTGTTTGTTTATCTCCCTTTTTCTCTCTCTCTACAGAATGATACCTGGTCAGAGCTGTACTCCTTTGCAGTATTCAAGGCAATGAGCCACATGCTGTGCATTGGTTATGGCCGGCAGGCCCCGGAGAGTCTGTCAGATATCTGGCTCACCATGCTGAGTATGATAGTAGGAGCTACTTGCTATGCTGTTTTCATTGGGCATGCAACAGCTCTTATTCAGTCTCTGGACTCCTCCAGACGGCAGTATCAGGAAAAGGTGAGATCAACTGAAATCAACTCTGTCCTGTGTTCTCAAAGATTTTCTGTTTTCTGTTAACTGCTTAGCATTCAGTTTTTCACTTTTCATGACATTTTGACGTATGTGGTAACTCCGTATTGGTGCCAATACTAAAGTGTATAGTGGATAATCCACATTAAACATTTTACATAGTGTTTTCCATTGTGTGCCAACTATTTGCTTGCAGTTGTTCACTATGAAAATGGAAGTGACCTGCATGATTAGCGAACGTCACCAAAGAGTAACTCCATGTACTTTTATATTTGGGCCATTTTGCTTGCACAAGTCTTTTTTGTATGAAGTACTCTTATAAGAATTAATATGTAGTTACAGCCTCACGTTATGTATCATGTAGAAGAATTAATTATTTTTTTATTGATTATACATTTGGGAAAAGATCAGTGGTATCAGATCAGCACCCACTCCGTATCTGCTGATACTTTAGTTTGGGTATCAGAATCTGTATTGGGGGGAGGAAAAGTTGGATCTGAGGTTGAAGAGCTCCTTCAATTTCTTAAATTCTCTTAGTTGCTCATAACAATGGAACGGCTCAGTAACAGGCACACCTTTTCTCTTCTCTTATTAGCTGCAGCATTACATTGTTGAACATTTGCTATAATTGATTATTTTTTTATAATGCAGGTTTTGAATACAATGAATATGAATCTTGAAAAGTATAACTAGGTGTATTGTGGAGCAACAGCACAGTGAACTATCAGGTGGTTAACCCAAAGGCTACGGCCTATCACACATTATCAGAGCCTGTTTAACCATTTGTATATGTTGTCATTAGATAATTTTTTTCCTTTGACTATCAGATGTCTTTTTGAAACAAGGATGGGGATGATAGCAGTGCTTAACAGTGGTGCAGCAGTGGCCTGTAGTGGTAATAGAGCAGCCTCTGTTTCTAAGCAGAGTCTCACTGGCTGGGGAGCAGGGGGAGTGTTGCTGGCTTTCAGCAGCCAATAAGAAGCTGCGGGTGTGTTCGGCCAGGTAGAGCCACGTCGCCAGAGGCTGGGCATGTGTGTGTGTGTGTGTGTGTGGCAGGGCTGATGAGGGTGAGAGAGAGAGAGAGAGAGAGACAATGAGAAATAGTGTGTGTGTGCGCGATATGATGTCCCCTTGGGCAGCAGAAGAATTGATGAGGCAGCAGACCTGTGTGTCCTGCCAATGTCATCCTGAAGGTGACGTAAGCATCCATGGCTGCCTCTCTCTCTTTTCCTGATCACTCACTCACCGGCTCTACCTGCACTCTTTTTCATCTGTTATGCGTCTTCAACTATTCCTCTCTGCCTCTTAAATGAGCCCACCTGATTTTCTGCTTCATCTCCTAATCTCCCTCTTGTCTTCATCCTTTTCTCTCCCCTTTCTCTTGATCTGAATTTCTCTTTCTTTCTCTCTTTCCCTCTCTCAATCCCCTCTGGTGGTAGTGTCCTTGAGAGGTGCAGTGCTACTGCTAACTGTCTGCTACAGGGAGCAAAGAGAGGGGGAGGGGAAACCTGTGGGAGACGGAAAGGCCTTGTTGTCGACACAACCCTGGTGCACTGCGAGATATTTGAACACAGTCTATTTCACATCATTTAGAGTGTTTTTGTCCGGCTAGCATTGTGTGGAACTCCTTGTAGGTTTTTTTCAGCTATGTGGCTGGACGCTTGGGTATAAATCATGTCCAATAAATTGTTCAGAAGACAACGATTCAGCAAGTTTAGTGCTTAGTGGTGCTCTTGTCTAGACTGTGTGTCCTGGATGATGGCCGTTAAAAGGCTAGAGAGAAATCCATTGAGTTTTGTTTGTGAGGAATTCTTTCTTACACAGTGGGGATTACTGAAATGAGTAACCTGTCCAAGAAAAAGACCCTTCCTCTGCCCCATTTTCCTGTTGCTGGTGGTTGAAAGTTGAACTTTTCACCTCAACAAGCAATCTGAGGTCTTATGAGCTGTGATGTGCTTTAAGTGTGTATAATCCTCAAACTGCCTGTATTTTTATTCAGTTTAAGAATACATTGAGAAGTAGGAAACATATATGCTTTCACATCAGAAATTTATTCATAATGCTGTGTGCTCTGACTGTATTCACTCATGTTTAGACATTTTCTAATGCGTCCTCACCCCGTCCCCGAATATATATTTTTTCTGCTGAGGGCAGGAAGTGCATTTACCCAGAGCCCTTTTTCTGACCAGTTGTCAGAGTTTCTTTTTTTCTGCTGCTCTGTGAGGATTAGTATTTGAGCTGAAGGCGTGTTTATTTAAAAAAAACAAACGTGTAGAGCAGAAAAGTGCCAGCCATGCCAGTGAGGCTGATGCTGCTGGGTGAATTCGCCACGCCTCCAGATAGGACTGTGAGTGACATTTTTATCATTTAGAGAATGTTAGCAAAACACATCTGCTGGCAGTCTGTTACAGCCTCAGAGAGGCTCCAGCTAGCATTGTGTGGAGGATTCCATTTCAGCCCAGCAGGAATGTCAGCCTTACAATCAATGTGGGTTAAATTTAGGGAGAATTTGGCTTGATGGCTTTGGTGCAGAGACCTATGAGTTATTTATACATAGTAACAGTGCACGCTGACACACAGCAGAGGGGCAGATAGGCCGACATAGAAAGAAGCAGTCTCACTTGTGCCAGCTTTAATGCACCTTTGCCAACAATGCAAATGACAAATTCAGGCTGTGTTTCTGGTGATGACAAAATTTGGCTATGAGCTTTTGGGAACTTGCATGCTGACATTACCCTCTTTAATGTAATACAGTGCGAGATAGAAAAGGCAGCTTTAAAGGCCCTTCACATCCATGGTCTGCCTCCCGTTAATCTGTCACACAATATTCATATTAGATTTGCTGCACCTGTTTGGGTGGGAGAGGATGTGTCTTTATTATTCTTATTAGTTTGTGAAGTCTGGTCTAATAAGTAAGAATAATGGACACCTGTGTAGGTGTGTAGGTCCTTAAACAGCCTGTTGTTTTGATGCAGTCAGAAATGTGGAATGAGGCTAAACGCAGAGAAGGAAGGATGCTACCTGGCTGCAGTGAGTGCAAGCACAGTGACAGAGTTAATGACAGTAAAATGTTTATGTATAATTTACATATCTGTGCTATGCTAGCTCCTACAGTTTATGTTTACAACCCTACCCACGCTATTTCCTGTCCATTACAATACATATATATACATTATTTCTTTAATATACATTTGAGATATGTTGACATAATTAAAGAGTTTTTGTTTTGGATAGAACATATGCATGTTGAATATTCTCTTCTTTTATTCACAAAATTACTGATTTCAGAAAACCTCACAGTAGAATCAAAAATACTGCAGACTTTCTGTATATAAACCAGTTTAGTTTTAGACCTTTTTAAGAAAAATAGCAGATTAAAATTTTTAATCATCTCCTAATGGCCTCACGGGGGGGTTGTACATTGAATCAGCTCTCCGCTCTTGTAGTCGTAGAGACTTACCTCAGTCAGCAAGACAGAGCGCAGACAGCAGTCTGAGGTCTCTGCCATGATGTGGCACAGGACAGGATGCAAGATTGTTTTCTTCCTCCTCCTCCTCCTCCTCCTCCTCCTCCTCCTCCTTCTCCTTCTCTCCCTCTTCGTGCTGCTGCCACCATCAACAACAGTAATCTGTCTTCTCTTAGCCAGACTGCTTGTTACTGATCACTCCAATTATCCAGAGTCTGGTTGACTTTGCAAGATAGTGGCCAAAGAGAGAACAAAAACAGCGTCCCTTTAGTTGTGTCAAATGATATTCACTACTCTAGTAGAAGGGGTGTCTGATGAATAAACCCTTATCAGCCAGTCTTCTTTGGTCATTAGTCCCTTTGACTGAATTATAGGATTTTCAGTGTTTCCTTAGAAGCCTCGTTTCATTTAATGAGACTTTGTACTGTGTGATACCCTGCAGAGTGTTGTTCCTCCCTGTATACACATCTCCAAATTGAAGAAAGACAAGACAAGCACTGACTTACCACTATCTGATTTTCTTCTCTTTGGTGAATGTGCCTTATGATATAATGAGGCGATTTTGCAGGGAATTAAGTGAATGAATTATACATCCACATAGCCCTTTGGGATGAACCGGAATTAGAATTTCCAATGGAGAGAAGTTGCGGGATGAATGAGCAGGAGAAGAGAAAAAGAGGGGAGTTACGGAGGGAGGAAGGAAATGAAATTGATTGAAAGGAAAGAAAGAAGGATATGGGAATGACAAAAAGCTGATGTTGGATCAGTGGTTAATGGGCTTAAAAGTAGAATAATACAATCACAGTCAAAGACCAAACTATACATTTTCATCTGAATAACAAATCCCCCCCTAAAAACCTCCCAAAAACAGCAGTTTAAATGACAAATTGTCAGTCGAGCGTTTTGCTGCCGTCATCAGTGTGTGACACATAAAAATGGATGTCATTTTCACTCTCATTTGGGTGTTTGTCAGTCCCATCTGAGTGCTGTAGCGCACCAGCCAAATGCTTGCTCCTGCTCCTCTGTGTCACTGGAGAGATTTCAGGTTGGTCTGGTGATGACGTGGCTCTCAAAGTCATGTCATCAAATGCCGGCAAGTAAGTTCAGTTAGATAGACTTTTGCTGCCTCATTCATTTGGGCTTAGTCACAAGCCTCTGGAATGACTTTCATGTCCAACCACAGCTACTTGGTGGCGGCATCTCTGCGGGGAGTGTGTGGTCTTCCCTCGCTGCCAGACTACCCCATGCCTACACTTTGCTCAGAATCAGCACTTCCATTCTCTGAAAGGCACACCAGCTGCAGCGTTAGTTTTGACACGTCAGGCAAAGAGTTGTGACACAGGGTCATTTCTTCAGGCCACTCTCCATCTGCAGATGTCAGGAAGCAGAGTCACTCATGCAGGTGAGACCTTGTGTTGTGTAACTCTATCAGAGGAGCTGCCTACCAACCAGCAGACTGGTTGCATGTTTGGTTTATTTATGTTTATGTTATATGGCAGAAGGGAGCAGTGTGGGTGACGATATCAGTGAGAAACATGCATTGCTTTTTCTGGGCAGAGTGACAATACTTTTCCTGCCTAGCACTGTGAGATTATGGTACAACCTACCAACATCCCCTCTAAAGAAACAGTATAGGCTGTGAATTTAACCTACATACAGTTCAGAAAGTATTTGTTTTACTGTTTTGGCTCTGTAATCCAGCACATTGGGTTTGAAATAGAACAGGGACTATGAGGCTTTAAGCTTTTACCACCTACTGTTCCTCATGTGAGATGCTACCATTATGTGGAACTGTCTGTGGATTGCACTCTTTGCACTGCACCCTTCAGTCAAAGTGGTCACACACAGCTACAGTCATGCAAGCAGCTCTGTGATGCTATAGTTAGGTACAGCGGTGCTTTGAGATAAATGCTAATGTCAGCATGCAAACATGGTAACAATGCTAACATGCTGATGATTAGCAGCAACAGTTCCACGTTAAAATGTCTAAAAACGACTAGACCTTTAACATTACCTCGTCCATGAATGTGATTCCTGCCTGCGTCACATCAGATAGATTTTCATCTGTGGTTGTTTAACAATGAAGACAAAAACTCCCATGATCCCACACTACTTCAAGATGTCGTCAAACTATGTCTTTTGTTACTGTTTCGATGTGAGAGACCCCATAGCGGCAGAAATTAAATACCAACATTTTATAATTAGAGCAAAAGAGGAAAGTACAGCTGAGGCTGACAGGTATTCATTAGTTCTGCAGGCAGACTTTGTCATTAACTAAAGTACTGGTCAAAATCTGTCCGAAGTGAAAAGTCAGGAGGTGAGTCAGGAGATTGAAGAGAAGTAGTGCAGAAGTAAAGGTCCAACAGTGCAATAAAATATCCTAATACTCTCTGACTGCACTGTAAATAAATTGCGTAGTTAAGATAGTTTAGTTGCGGGTGCTAATGTGACCCTAGTAATGTGAGCTAGTACTCACATGGGCAGGTCTGTTTGGTTTGGTGGTTAAGGTGCAAGACAATATCAGCTGGTACAACATTATAGTGGGGTAGTGATTTTTAGCTCAAAATGTGAGTTAGTGCACTACTATGATTCAATATTTTCCTTGTGTACACAAGTACTCCATTATGTACAACTAGAAATCTTTGTTTGCCAAATATGTCTCTCTTTTGGAAACAGGGAGCCAGTCTGTCTGTCTCAGACCACAAACCATTTCCAATTTATGCATTTATCTTATGCTGCTGAGGATCCAGAGCTCGTAACAGAGTGTGAGCAGGTGGACGTCATTGTTTTGCTCATGGCCTCTGACAGGACACAGGGCAGTACTGTCTGCAACAGAAGTGAACCTGGGACCTTCAAGTTGTGGGTCGGTCTCGCTACTCTGAAGCAAAACCTGCTGAAGATGTTGTCAGGAGATGTCCCTTGATGCCAGCTAACAGAGTTTTAGGACCGACGGGATAGAGGCGGTATGGGCGGTGACTTCCTCAGTCCCTGGAAGTTGTGAGTACACAGTGTTTGCCAGCCACACTGCCTCTCAAAAGGTGTGTTTCGGACAGCTTTATAGGTGCAGGGTTGAGCTGTGCATCTTATGAAGCTGTCCAATTGAGCTGGGTTGAAGTGCAAACAGTCTGACAACAAAGTACAAGGACAAATCTTTCTTTCTCACATTCACTGTCTGTTCTGTTTACCTCCACATCTATCAATCTCCTCTCTGCAGCCCGGCCACGTACTTTTTGGTTTCTCAGTGGTCACTTTGGATGGATTGGGATTAGCATAGCTCAACAATAGAAGCTGATTGTTTGTGTTGTTGCCGTGTTGGACCCTTCACTGTCTATTGAGCTGGCATTGATCAGTGGTGTATGTCTTTATTTCAGTCGACAGCTGAATGATGTGTACTTGCACTGTGTTGTGCGGTTGGTTGTTGACTCACTGGAAGAAATACGGGTAAAACAGTGTTGTGTCATGCTCAGAAAGATACTTTGTTTGTTGTCTTTAATGAGCTTCGTCCCTTTTGCTGTTGAATTATACTACATTCTATGGAGTAAAAAAATAAAGAAACTAACTGAGAGGTGTTTATGTTTTGTCCACCCAACAATAAAATACTAGAAAAACCTCTGAGGATACAATTCAACCATACCATAAACTACTGCCTCCAAAAGGGCCATAAATTTCAATCAGCCCCTCTCTGAAACAGTTTCAATATAAACTGAACAGCATAACCTTCAAGGTAGGATTTATTGTAGGGTTGTTGAATTACACTGGAACTGAGAGTAGGAAACAATGTACTATGATGTGTAAATGCTAAATGTGTAACTGCTTACTGAATATCATATCAAAAGAATCTATTTTGCTGTGTTTCCGAGGTGCTGTCATGCAAAAATATGCAAAGATCTCCGATTCTTTGTGCTTTAAAACGTGCAACCAATTGCACCATAACCTTACAAGTACAGTATTTTTTTAAGGTTGGTGGGTAACCTTTTATTCATAGCTTTAATCTATATTTTATATCTTCATTATTGTCAACAAATTCCATGAAAAGGCCAAAACCAACATTGTATTAGTCCGTTCCTCAATTTTTTTTCATTTTTTACCCTGTCTTTAGCTTTTAGCCCCAAGCCCATTTGTTCCTCCCAGATGTAAGTGTAGATATTAGCAATTGTTACTGAAACAGGAGGAAATACTGAATAGATTGGGGACTATTTTCAGCTGAGGAGAAATACACATTATTTTCTATAGGGGGTATTTAATGGCAGGAGGTGTATGTGGGATTAACTTGAAAAAACCTGCAGTGCCCTTTTTCATCATAATGAAGGAACATCCATTGCTACAGTGTGGCTCATTTATATGTTTTACTAAGCTATATCATGCTTTGACTACACAGACGATTCTTGTTGGTAGGATAAATGCATTGTTGGTTTTGGTCTCTGCGTGGGATTTTTCTGACAATATGAAAAATATTGATCATCACCAGACAGGGACAATACGGTTAAACATTGTTACAGTGGGAAAAGAAACATTTCAAAACTATTTTATGCACTGCATTAACAGACCATTATCTCTGTCCCTCTTAGTACAAACAAGTGGAGCAGTATATGTCCTTCCACAAGCTGCCCGCTGACTTCCGGCAGAAAATCCATGACTATTATGAGCACAGATATCAGGGCAAGATGTTTGATGAGGAGAGCATTTTGGGAGAACTCAGCGAGCCTCTCAGAGAGGTAAGACATAAACCCACAATTTCTTGTAGTTTTTTATAGTATGATACATTCAAGTTGTACGATTATCTTTATGTTTGAGATTCACTGTTTTCACTGTGATCTTCCTTTCGGTGATGTACATGTGATTATGAAAATACAAATACCTGAACACACCCTTCATGCATGCCGAAACTTGACCGCAGTGTATTACCTTAGTTTCACATTTGGCAGATATTTCTCCTGTCCTTGTACACACCAAACAATGTGTCTTTTCTTAGGAAATTGTAAACTTCAACTGTCGGAAGCTCGTGGCATCCATGCCACTGTTTGCCAACGCAGAGCCCAACTTTGTGACAGCCATGTTGACCAAGCTGCGTTTTGAGGTGTTCCAGCCACATGATTACATTATAAGAGAGGGCACCATTGGGAAGAAAATGTACTTCATTCAGCACGGAGTCTGCAGCGTCATCACTAAGGGCACTCTGGCAATGAAACTCTCTGATGGCTCTTATTTTGGAGGTAGGATACAGTTTGAGTATAAAGCGTTTCTTTCTGGTCATGCTGTGTTTAGCTTCTTTTTTAGGCAGTTTCAATCTCTCCTTCCTCGTTTCAGAGATCTGTTTATTGACGAGGGGTCGGCGAACAGCCAGCGTGCGAGCAGAGACTTACTGTCGACTCTACTCTCTGTCTGTTGACCACTTTAATGAGGTGCTGGAAGAATATCCCATGATGAGACGAGCCTTCGAGACGGTTGCCATTGACCGTCTAGACCGCATAGGTAAAAAAAAACTAAATTAAATTCACTAAATTAGGAAGAATATATTAGAACGATGGAGTTCCTCCAGTTCATACACACATAAGATTAGAGCCTGACATAAACAGTACATTTATGTAGTCAAAGCATATGTAGCTTTGAAAAGTCAAAGCTACATATTGTAGCATTATTGCAAGCAACTTAATGTCTCTGCATACAGCTCTTTTTTAAATAAAAAAGCACTCTAAAATGAACTCCATGTACAGAAAACAAAATAATATTTTACATAGGAAATGTTTTCAGAATATTATTGTTGAAATAGGCAGTAAAATGAGCTGTGCTGTTCCCTCAGGATGACACGGGACACTGTAACAATAGATGAGAGTGCAGGGTGAAACATCCATTTTCCTCAGGGCTTGTTCTGCTAGAGGATGTACCTGGTGTGAAGGACATCACATGCTATATCTAACTCATATTGTTCTCCCTTTCCAAATCCTCATGTTTCCATATTTTTATGCTTTGTTCAGCTTTTTGCCCTCTCTGTCTTGTCCTTTCTCATTTCTGTTTTTAGCTCTTTAATGATCAATCCATTTCTTTCGTTCTGCAGGTAAAAAGAACTCCATCTTGATGCACAAGGTTCAGCATGATCTCAACTCTGGTGTGTTCAACAACCAGGAGAACGAGATGATCCAGGAGATTGTCAAGTACGACCGTGAAATGGTGAAGCTGGTGGACCTGCAGCGGCCGCGGGCCATGTCTATGACCCCTTCCATCGGTGGTATCTTTGCTCCTCCTGGCCAACCGCAGTCAGGCTCTGCTATTGCCACTCTTCAGCAGGCTGTGGCCATGAGCTTTTGTCCGCAAATGGCGAGTCCCCTGGTAGGTCCAGGGACTCTGCAGTCTCCTCGTATGGTGCGACGGTTCCATGTGATGCAGAACCTGGCCAGCCCAGTCTCCATGTCTCCTCTTCAGTCTCAACCCCCCCAGGCGTTCGGAGGGGCTTTTGGATCCGCAATCTCCAGCCCACCTGTACAAAGCCCACTCGCAGCTTCAGGACGGACTTTCCAGTACATGGCAAGTGCAGGACCCTCTGGTTCCCAGTTGTCCCTAGTACAGCACCATGCACCCAGCCCCACACAGACCCAGCAGAGGCCTGCCTCGCACAAGAGCACCCACTCCCTTCATACAGGTAGCTTAAGCCAGGATACCCGGGCCCTGTCTGCCTCCCAACCTTCCCTCCCCCAGGAGGGAACGCCACAAGCTGCCTCTGCAGCCCCCAGCCCCCCACCATCCACCCGCACCTCCAACAACTCCATCGGCCCCCCTCAGCCCCCTCACCCCAGCCTGCCAGGGCCCTCAGGGGTAGGGAGATCAGCAGGAGCTCAACAGAGGGTGGCCTTTGCCTCTACACCTCCTCCCGGTGGACCTGCTGGAACAGGAGCAGTAGCAGCAGCTGCTGGGTCAGGACCTCCAGACTCTGGACTTCCCAAGAAAGATTCAATTGTCAGCCTTCCAGAGCTAGACTCTGCCAGATCCCGGCTGTCTTCCAACTTGTGACCCTGGTAGAGTTCAGGAAAGAGGCCTTTTTTGTAGGAGAATCTGTTTGTTTTAGGTCAGTCCAGCTGATCTGTCAGTCTGCTAAATGACCAATCAGCTACCGCCAGCGCCACCAGTCAATTGACCTGGATGCACTGTACGCTGGTGTCAGCAGATGGAAAAGAGCAACTCAAAGTCTTGAGATACTTTGGCTAGGAGGAGTCTATACAATTTAACTAGTATAACTTAAGGTTGAACTGGCCTAGTCTACTGTGCCAGCACCTTTAGTCTTAGTATCACCCCTTACACACTGCTTCCAAACACCTACTGTATATCGCTGTCTTTACTGTAAAGATATGAAGAAAAGTATGATTAATGTAACTATTGCATACTGTGTAGAATCCATGCAATGCAATCTAGCAGGAGCTGGACTTAAAAATGAAAATCAGGGACTTGAGGTCAAATGACAATGACATTTTAAGCATTCAAAAAGTGTTTTCAGTGTAATTTTTCCGTATAAGCTGTCGTAGCAAAAGAACACATTGCTCTTCATATTGTTTAAACTAGTAGTGAAAATAGTGTTTTAGACTGCTGGTCGATCTTACATCGATGTGTAAATAGTTGATGAAAAAAGTACAGAGGGATATTATATTCATTGTATCTACCCAAACCAAAGTTGAGCTTGAACACAAAGTCTGGTTGTGTCTGTATCAACTAAAAAAGAAACATAGAAGAAAATGCCATTTATTTAACTGCCTTGATTCAACGTTAGAAGCCATATATTTGGTTTGTGTGTATGTATATATGTGGGTGTAAGTTTGTGTGTGTGAGTTTGTTGGTACATTTTTGTTCTATTTTCAGAGAATGGACTCGCACACTCTCTACACTGCTTTGTCAAGTGCGATTGGTTTCACATGCTGATGGTGGCACTGACCAGTTTTCATGAAACATCTGAGAGGCGGTCAGCTGTTTGGTCAGCGTACTGATTGTAACCCTGATGGTTAAATAATATGAGCTTTATTGAAAGGAAACATTTGTGAACAACCCATACTATATACTTGCTTGTTTTTGTCTAGGTTTATTGATTAACACATGCAATATAATTCTGCAATACTCTACCCCGCCTATATATAAAAATATGAATATAATATCTATATATATGCTGTACAGGAAAGTGAACTTGTTTCTTTTTTCTTTTGTTTTCTTTTTAATGTGAACTCTGAATCCAGCAGCTATTGTGGCTTCACTTGAGGTATTGTAATCCAGTGACCATGTTGTTACCTTAACCAAAAATGTTTGAGGGAATGAGGGGATGTGCAGTGTCATTTTTCATAAAAACAGATGGGATAAACTACTTAAAACTGGTTTAGAGTCACAGGAGGAATCCACGCTTTGAGTTCAGCAAGTCAGATCCTCAAAAATGTCACATTAAAGCCCATTTGAAGATATAAAATTGTAACATGAATGCGGGGTTTGGGGTGGGCAATATGGGGTACGAATGCCTCACATGTAAAAACTCTTTGTCCATATCAAACTCTCTGTGTGCCCCATATCACCCAAAACTCCCATGAATGTCTCAACATTTAGACCCACAACAATCCTATTGTACAAATTTTGGGATTGGGTTGAGGCTTTGGTCATATTTATTCTAAATATTCTGATCCTGCTGAACCTAAAAGCCTTCTCTTGCTGAATGTATGCCATACAAGAAGGGAGACAGCTAATCAGATTAAAACTGCCATGTAAATAAGGGGACATTTAAAGAGGCTTTTATGATGCAAGGGGGTTGTGGGCGTTGCTGTATCTGTTGCTGAGTGTCTGTGTGATCTTTTTAGGTTTGATTTTGCTTCTCTGGGTAGAACGTTGCTGTATTTAACCTGTATGCTAACCCCCCACCCCCTACACCCTACACCCTATCCCCAGATCTTACACAAGAGGATACAATTTTTTTTGTTCATTCATTGAAGTGGGTGTGAACCAGAGCGAGTCATAACCACTTTGAACTCCTCGGTCCAAAGCGAGCACTGAGGACATTCAGTTAAGCACCTGGTGTTGCAATCAAAATAAAAATCGATGCTTTATTCTCTTAAATGGTTGCAGTACTGCTCTTGGACCCATTATCTGGTTAAACTGAAAGGACAACAAGTGAATACAATTGGGATAGAAAATAGGCAGCTGATTCAATGTATTAAACAAACATCGTGTCCAACTTTTTCAGCTCTGAGCATCGATCCAAAGCCAAACTGTAAATCAATGCGATGGACATTTCACTCAGGTTTGCTATCTTCCCAGAGAGATGTATTGATTACTGTAGTGTGGCTTTCTATTGATTTATGTAGACTTGTCTATCCTTCCATGATCAACCTGTTGATGCTGAAAGATTCCCCTTGAATTTTGATTGGCTGAGAAAAACAAGGAGGACCTAATTGAGTCATAACCCTCAGATTGTTTTTAGTGTAACTCGCTGTCATTTTGTTTTGATCACTTTACCTGAGAGCTGTTGAAATCTTGAAACAAGGTGTAGGTGATTGTTTTTATCCAAGGGCTTCATAATATGGCTTGTAAACCTTGGCTCATTGTAGAGCAGCCACATTTTCACTTTAGGTTTGATCAGTAACATGCACTAAACCTTGTTCTTTGTCATTACTGGGTCACAGTGCTGCAACCAGCTTCGTCAGCAACACAGGAACTTTGTATTGCTTTTTTCCTATGGGAAAGGTACATGCCAAAATGCCAATGTGATTGTGAATGAGCCGAGTCCATTTGAGCCAATAGCTGTTGTGTGCTTCAATACTGTTCCAGTGCAATCAGTTGGTCCTCGTCCCTATTCCTTTGTGCTAATACCAGAGTTTGCCCTATTAAGCTGCTATCAGGACTGTGCTGATATTATTTGAATTTTTGAGTCTGAGTCCACAGTCAGTGAGAGCAAGATGGAAGGAGAGTTAAAGAGCTAATGTTTCAGGCAATATCAGGCACCGTCTCTATTTCATTGCATCCATCCAGTAAGGTACTGTAGTGTGTAATTCACTCCCGATCAAAGGATGGCATCCCAGATACTTTAATCAGTACCACTCTGTTTCAACCCTCAGCCATGAGGCTGATACAGTCCTAGCAAAGCACTCACTTCTGTCAGTTATCTGTTTTGTGTCTGTGTCACAAGTGTGTCCAATCAGTTGGCTTCCAGCCGCTGTTGACGTGTGTGTGATGTAGCGCTGTATTTGCCTGATGACGGGGGGTTCAAAGTCAAAGTGCGATTGTTTAATGGTCCTTCTTCTGGACCTTGCTGTGAAGTGGGATTGAAATCCCACATACATGTTTGACACTGACTGACAATTATTGAGAGTATCTAGTTTCAAACCTCTCATTCTTGCTGTACCAGATATAAAGGGTACTGAATGCCTTGATGTTGATATGTTAGTAAATCAGGGTATTATTTTTGTTTGTAAAAGTGTCTGTGATTTATCAGAATATTTTGTTTGGTTATTGTTTTTGCAATGTGCCCCATGCACATGAACTGTATATACCTTGTGCCTAGTATATCTAGTTTCCACATAGTCTATTTTTGTGGTATGTATGTGCCTGTAAAAATGCAAATATGTGTTTTTATTTTCAACTTGCAATATATGTAAAAACAAACAAACAAACAAAAAAACATTAGATGAAGACTACTATTGCTAAATTAAAATGACAATGTCAGTATATATAATTTACCCTAATTTGGGAAACACAAAATTGCACATTTTTGTTGGTTTGAGCCTTCCAACACCATGCGCGCTGTACTCTGTACTTTCATGTTCTGTACATATGGTATAAACAGAGATGTGGGGCACATTGTTGTGTTTTACCACAACTTGCTGTATAAGAAACATTTTCTACAGTGAGAGGGTGAGCTCTGACACGTTTCTGGTGGATATTGGCAGTCTAGACATTGGCTTAGATGACCTTCTTGCTGCACAGAGCCAAAAATCACAAAGGAAATAATTAATAAAACTGTGGCGGATGCCTGCATAATATCAATACAGAAACAAAAACTAGCCGTGCTGAAAAATCTTTCTCAAACCATATTGTTGCACAGGTCTTTTAACTGATGCTAGTTGCACATTGATGATCTGGTGTTTGCTAATTTGAAAAAAAACATCTCTCCAAGGCTGAATTTGGCTCACGAGCCACAGCAGTCACAAGCTTGACTCCCGGTTGAGTTAACCTTGACAGTTGATAGCAGAGTGCATGCTTGTATTTTTCTTATCTAAGCGGAGTTCTGTGTACGATTCTTAGTGGGACCTTCAAATCTAGTGCACCAACTACTGTACAATGATTTTATTTAGTCTAACAGTTAAACCTTTGTGTCGTAGCTACTGTAGCCTGCTTAGCTTACCTAAGCCTTCTCTGCTTCAGGACTCTGTGTATTGTGTGCTTGAGTTTGTGTGTGCGTGTGTGTGTTCCTGTGCCTTTCCTTCTATAATGTTGGTCCCACTTGAGAATATGATGCCATTTAGGGGTTTGAAACCTACATGAAGCTGAGAGAGACACCAGCGCAAGCTGGAAAGTGTTACATGGTCACAACTTCACTTGTTCTAAAAACAACAACACTGAAATGCTCCTAGAAATGACTCTAGCACATCCCTAGACTTAGTAGCATTCCATGGCATGCACGAGCAGCTCGGTGTGGGCATCCAGGCACACTTTAATACCAGCACCATGTAGACAACAGCACAGATATCTGACACAGCATGTGTCGCCTCTCTCTCTCTCTCTCTCTCTCTCTCTCTCTCTCTGGAGGCCAATCTGCAACCATTTCAGGCTGTGCTTGGCTTCTGCTCTTAACAAAAAGGTTAAAGTATATCAGAACTCCAGCTCTGTCTAAGTTGATGTCTACAATCCCAAATCAGCTCCAAGCCCGAGCCGCAGCACTTCAAAATCGATCTCAAAGGATCTGGGGGGGTGGGGGGGGTTCTTAAGATGCTGGTGAAATTTGTTGCCGTCCAGTCCTTTCAGACTGCGATGCACAGCTGGCGGCGAGGGCGCGGGGCTGATTTGAGCCTGCGTCCAAAAGACTGTCTTGTCCACCACCTCTGCTGGCCGAGAACACAGAGCCACACCCTGGTCTCTCTCAATAAGCTGGTCTGTCAGTCAGTGGCAATGTCGTTTAAGCGTTCGTAAAAAGACGATACATTGTTGTGCAATAAAAAGATGAGCGCATTGGCATACTTACCTCTGTGTGTGGACTTTTATTCATTGTTGGGGTTTGTTGTTGGTCGGTATACTGTGTTGGATGCAGAGTATGTGAACATTTAACGTACCTCTTAGAGTTAAATTGATAGCTGCAAGTATGTACGCACACACACACACACACACACACACACACACACCTCAACCCTGTAAATCAGCCAGCAACCCCTCCACCCTTGTTCTACCCCACATTAGATGAGATCTCTCTCTCTGCAGACAGGGGCTCTGCTGCATCCCTGATGAGATGTCTGAGCTCAGTCTATGAGGTTTCCACTGTGTGTGTGTGTGTGTGTGTGTGTGTGTCTGCGAGAACGCACACAGCACAGCAGCAAGTGTATTTATTCCTGTACTTAAGAGTGCATGTGCGCACACGCAAGCCCTAGTTTTGTATTTGTCTGATACTGAGAGAGAGTAAATGAACCAGTGGCAAGAGTGTGTGTGTGTGTGTGTGTGTGTGTGAAAGGGTGGGTGGGTGTGTGCGTCAGAGATGAGGGCAGTCCAAGGACACACTCCTCTGGCAGCCTGGGAGCAGCACCCACCCATTCCCTCTCCGTCTATTTCCTTTCCTTCCCCCCGCACACACACACGCGCTGCTGTCTGGATCCTCAGTGATTATGCATGGCAAACTGAGATGGAAAGATTAAAATTACATGCAAGGTGAGGTTTCAACACAGAGTTTTACATGTTGCCTCCTCATGCGGCTGGTACAAATGTGGGTGAGGCCATCCGCAGTGCGTGTACATAGTTTTACCTTGACGTGACATAATGTCCTCTCTCTCTCTTCAGCTCTATTGACACACACACACACACACACACGCATTCTTTCTCTCTCTCGCTCCATTTCATTGTAATTCAATGAGGAAGCAATGTACTGATAGTGGCTGCAGGCAGCTACTACACCAAGTTGTGAAGCTATATGTAGTCTGAGTATATAGTTTCATCCTGTATATGGCTGAGGATTGTCCTCTACCTCGTTTCCTCTGCAGTGCTGGTCCTCTACTGTGTCCCTGGCTGTCCTACTTCAATTAATCATATAAGCATCTCCTGCATTACCCCCCTGGCTGTTTACCTCCAGAGGGCAATTTGCTTTTTTAGCTGCTTACTGGTATCCTTGTCCCCTCCCATCCATCTCCTTCCAGTTTATTCGCACTGCTCCTTGACTGGTCTTCACAAACTTCCTATATTGTCCATTTTTAGAAGCTAAAACATTTGTGTCCCCCAGGGTCTTCCCAGGGAAATCAGCATTTTCAGCAACTGCGATTCAAAAGGACAGGTGCAGTTTGTTATTGTTGTAACATTTGCAGGTGCTCCTGAGAATACACACAGAAAACTATGTGTGTGTGTGTGTGTGTGTGTGTGTGTGTGTGTACGGAAAGAAGACGCACACACACACTAAGGCACAAACGCTCACCCTCATGCCCTAACATTCCTTCTCTGCTGAAGCTGCTTCAGCCATGTCCTCCCTGTACTGGGGAGCATCTAGAGAGCTCAAATCTGAATGCCAGGATTAGCATTTGGTCCAAGCTCTGACTCCATGAATGAGTCAGTGAGCAAGACACAGGGAGAGAGAAAGTAAATCATCTTACAGCCGCAAGCAGCCTCGGTAACATCACAGTTGCTGGACAGTGGGCTGGGGAGGAAGTGAGAAGTGCGTCAAGCTGAAATGATCAAGAGAAAAACACCCAGTGAGAGACAGGGGTGAAGGGACACATGATCTTACTGAATTCAATTGAATTTGTTGGCCATCTTATCTTTGGTCCCCGAGGGGGATTGTTTTACTATGTTTCATTACTTGTGTAGACAAAAACACTGATCAATGCAGTCTTCATCCAAGGACACACTGCCTATAAATCACGTGACCCCTAACCAAACTGTAATTCAGTCCATTCAGCGGCATACTTACTGCACGCATACATCAAAAGACAGGAAATGGCAAAAAGATTTTTTTCCCTCACTGTTCTTGCTGTCCAGTAATCCAAGAATTTATGATGCACATGCGTGTCAACATACATAAAAAGAGACAATATTTTTTAAACATTGTACATATACATCCAACTAGTGTTTTATATAGTGAATATGATTTCTTATATTGCAACCATCAACTCAACTAACCACAACTGACATGCTGCCATTGTTATTAACTATTTTACAAGATTATGGCTACTTTCTCATCGATATCGTATATAACAGTGCATGCACCTCAAAAAAACACAAAACAAAAGTTTACAATAAACAGGTTTAAAATGAATACACCTTAGATTAAGACAATCCATTCTTTAATGTTCCGGAATAGTGAGACATGAATTCAGTCTTGATGATGTAAAGCTTTACAGTCAAATTGGCCACTAAAGTCTATCTAACAATATTTCTTATTGTGTACTGTATCAGCAACAAATTATGTAATGAGCTGTGTGTCTCTTGGGGCAGAAGAGGAGGAGGAGGAGGAGGAGGAAGAGGGCAACAGCAGTAACAAGGTCACTGCCTGTATGCAGCTCATACATACAATGTTTATATAAATAAGTTATGAACTGTTCAAACATGTTAAAAAAACCTGTTTAACGGCTTCCAGAGAAAGTCCATGAAAATATTTTTCTCAAGTAAAATACAGCAACTATTTCTTCTGAATTTAACATTGTATTTATGTTTGTAAATGTCCCTTCTCTTGACAGAAAATATATTTTTTTTAATTAGTAAGAGGCAGAGGAGAGTGGAGGAGCTGAAAGGGTGGCTGCTGGGCTGTCTTTGAGCAGCTGGCCTGAGCAGCACTCCATGCATCTGCTCTGCTAAACACTTCCCATTACAGACGACCCAGAAACATCCATGAACCCCCTGGCCAAAAGAACAGGAGAGAAATAGAGAGGATGAAGTAAAAAGAAGGGGATAGAGGGTTGCAGAAAGCAAAGCAGTGATATGCCAGCAATATGGAGAACAGGAAATATGATTCATGGAGAAATGGGACAAAAATCTCCAGGCAGATATCATTAGCCTTTTTTTCTTAGAGCAGTTTGTTTCGTTAGCAAAAACATTTAATCTCCTCGGGTCGTTAGGGTATTTCAGCTGTGACTGTTTTGCGACAGGAAAGAAAGGCCCATGCTCAATGATTTCACTCCATCATCCACTTCCACCGATAATATTTGCTCTGGGCCGCCAACTGAAGTGATGAGAGCCAGGACAATGCTTTGGCTTCTGAATCATCTCATCTGTTCTGCTCTGTCAAGGTCTGTACTCAGTGACACTGTGGCTATTCATCAGAGCAGACATACTCACACACACACGCAAGACAAAAATATTCTCCATCCGAGGGCGCCCTTCATTGTAAAGCTTTTATCAGAAATTAAAAGTGCATCTAAAGTTACCACACCATTGTCACTGCAGAGAGTGTATCTTATTCATTTTAAAGGTACCCTGTGGAGTTTTTGACCACTTGTAGCACTATGGAGCAATATTTTTAAGAGTGGGCCCCAGATTTGTTTGTATCATGCACGAGGCGATACTAAATAATTCACATTATTCCACTGCTCTACAGGTGGCAATAAAGTGCAAAGGAATTTAGCAAAGAGCCAACAATGGCAGTGTTAGAGGACGCCTGCAAAAACGTGGCTTTGCAAATGTTTTATGAGGAAGAAAATACATTTAACACATTTGTTAGGCCTCAAGGATACAATACAATGTACTCTGGTGAGAAACACTGAATGTGGAGTATGACTTATGCTAACTTGCACTTGCCACCTCCATTGAAGAGATTCAGGAAATGTAACTTTGGCAAAGGAATGTACAAACGGGCAAACAGCATGAGCCACGAGCCTATAAATAATTTGAAAGTAAACACAGAAATTTCCCCCCTGGGTTAGCTATTGTAGCTAGCTACCTAGGGATCTACTTCTGGGCCAAATTGCTGGCTAACCACAAAAGAGATTGAAGTTTCTTTGGAAAGTGTTAGGCTTGCCTGCGTTTATGTTGCCTGCATTTTCCAAATCCCTGGATGAAGCTTCAGGTCACATCTGAGGTGAAAATGCTCTTATATTTAGGGTATTTTTAAAGACAACCAAACTCAAACAGGAGCGACTTATCTTTCTCATTTTGACACAGGGTAATTTTTCCGGTTTCTAAGGTGGTACAGAGTCATTGTGTGCGTGAAAACTATTAACTAACAGCTCAGATGATGTGAACGAGCGGAAGCAGAGAGAACGTGACAGAAAACAGAGAAAAACTATAAACAAGATAAATTGTTTGTTGCTGTGACCCTTTAACAGAGATATTTAATTCTTCCTGCGTACGTCTTTTTGTTGCTGTCGAGCGTTAGCCCAGGGGCCGGCCTCTTCTGCTCCGTCATTGTGTTTGGCTGTGTGACCATAATCACTAATGTACTGCTGTGGGGTCTTGCATTTTCTAGTGAAACCCAGCACTCTGTGCAGAAACATAATCTCTAGTAGTGATTTTAAGTGGCCTTAAAAGAGATTGATTACTGTGTGCTGAGGCATCTTAAGCAGGCCATTGCTTCTGGGTGTGAGGCGAGGCGGGGGGGGGACAGCAGTGACGGTCTAATTGTCAGGAGGATAGAGAAATCCCACAGCATCCATCACCCTTACACAAAGCACCAACGTGTCCTAACAACTCTCTCTCGTCTTTCTCTCACCTGGGAACAAACATACCTCGGATAAGTCCTGTTAATGCAGTAAAAATGTACTGAAAGGCTCTGTGCTCAGCTTAGTGTCTAAAGAGCTTGTACCGTATGCCATATTATTTGTCTGTTTGTTGCTCACCTTGACATGGCATATTCATCTTTGTTCATATCAAGGAAGCTTTTGTAAATTTTGTGAGTTTCTTTTAGTGTCTACACAAGTTTAGATGTTGGAGCATTCATCAAATAGCCTTGTAAACAGATGATTTGTTGATATATCTTGACCAGGTACCAAATTTGGATCAATATTTGCCAATGGTTTCAAATTTTACATACTTGGGAATCAACATTTATTCTTTTATATCATATATATGTTCTATTGTAAAAATGTTTTAAATCCATTTTCAGAGGATTTAGGTAGATGGTAAAAATTTTAAATTTCATTTGCCACAAGAAATCTCTATTGTAAAAATAAACATATTCCTTACTTTTTAATATGTTCCAAAAGCCTCCCTCAGTGGGTTATTGGAATAGATTGCAAAATCTTATCGCAAAATTTATATGGAAAAGACAAAAAACTCTAAAACTCTAAAACTCTAAAACTCCAGCGTGATAACAGATCAGGCTTAAATGTTCCAAATTTTGAATTGTAGTACATATCCTTTATACTTCGTCCATTATCAAAATGGCAAGAGAAGTTTAAGACACCTTTGGTCCAATTAGAAAAATTTATTATTTCACTGGATACTTTTAAAGATGGGCTTTTTCAAGTTAAGTGTTTAGACCAATTATAAGCGACTTGATCTATATGCGGAATTGTGGCAACAACTTGTAAAATAAGACCAATGGGAAATGAAATACACCAATATTCAATATAACATTATACAAATAGGTGGAAAACCCATTCATTTCCCACAGCAAAACTGTGGTAATTGAAACCCTCTCAGATATCTACAACAGTGATAAATTATGGTCCTTCCAAGACCTGAGAGATACATTTAATTTAACAGGGTCTTCTTTCTTTTTTTATATTTACACATGTGGGGTTCCAGTGACTCAATTGCCTATTCACTGAAATGTAGAAATAATAACAGGTTTCAAAGATGGCAGGGGCTTTGTGTCACATTTTAACCAAAATATCCAGCAACAAATGGGTTGTTTTTGTGGCATTGTGACTGTATGAAACAGAGATCTTAAAAGCTTGGAGTTTTGGGTAATATTCCACTCACTTCATGTTATCATAATCATCAGCTGCTAAATTGTGTGTGTGTGCGGGGGGGGACCATTGCTGGAGCGGGGTACACCCTGGACAGGTCGCCAGTCTACACATAGACAAACAACCAGTCACGCTCACATTCACACCTAAGGAAAATTTTTAGAGACACCAATTAACCTAGACCTAGTCTGCACGTCTTTGCATGGTGGAAGGAAGCCGGAGCACCCGGAGAGAACCCACGCGGACATGGGGAGAACATGCAAACTCCACACAGAAAGACCGGGGCAACCGACCTTCTTGCTGTGAGGCGACAGTGCTAACCACTGCACCACCACGCCGCCCCAGAGAGGGGATAATTACACAAAAAATATGTGGTTCTTTGAATGTCATCACTAATCAGAATAATTATAAAAGTGAGGAACAAATTGAAGAAAGTATTTCAGTATGGAAACATGTAAAACATTAGACCACTTAACCAAGAAATCTATCTAAAACTATCAGGCCTTCAAGTTAAACCAGTATAAATAAGTGGTGAGTAATGGGAGTTAGTGGGAGCAAGGTTTGGGCACAGTGAGCTTTGAGGAAAAGTCAAACCAGTCATGGTGACCCTTTGTTCAATCTGACGTGGCTGATGTAAGAATACCACTGACTTTGGCCTAAAACCATAATTAGGTAAAAATTTTGTCCAGTGCTTCGTTTTTGACCATATCCCTCTAAAATAATTAACATTTCCATCATCCTCAGCTGTACCTTGCGTTTAGTGATAATTAGTCAATCTCAGATTGCTAACACAGTGAACATTGGTGAACATTGTTTAATCCTGATGGTAGGACAGCCAATCATTTCATTTTACTACCTGTCTGTCTATCTCTTTATCTGCCTTACTTAAAACTATGTGCACGCACTCTGCCCATGCACTGTGTTTTGGGGGAGCGGCTTTGGAGGGAGGTCTGAAGGGAAGGGGGTGGGATTTGTTCAGTTGGAAACTTTCAAAATCTAGCTGTCTCTTATTCCATACCTATCCTAGCTTGAAAGTGGCATATTTGAGGATGTGAAAAATGACACAAGGGTGTCACTTTGTGTTGAAAAGTGGTGGGGACATTCAAGGGTTCATATTAGGGGTGTGATGAAACACTAAGTCCATGAGACGTGATAATGCACAATATTGAAGTCACGAGAACAAGACAACAAGATACTCCAATGCTATTTAGAAGAAATAATCATTGATGAAATAGGCTATTCAACTGGGGGGTCTGGGTGTCCTCCCCCAGAAGATTTTGAGCACTCTTAACTCTTAATTTCCTGCATTCTATAGACATTTTCTGCACCAATTTATGGTGGAAATAGCTAGAAACAAAATTCATGTGGCCGGTGACAATTCAGAATATAAAAAATATTATTGAATATAATGCAGTAATCAGCAGCTTGTTTTTTTAGCCTAAGTTACTTTTTATGGACAAGGCAGATCTTTTTCTTCTATATTTACATTGCATCTCATGTTTTCCTATTGTGCAGGTAAACCTTTCCCAAAGAATGTTTTTTGTTATTTAACATTTCTTGTTGCAAGCTAATTTTCAGAAAACTTTTAGGAAATGCTTTCATAAAGTGGTGGGGACAAAATCAGCTATGGGCTTACATAAACACGATCTGGGACTAAATAATGATGTAAAACAGAGTTTGCATTAAAGATGTGCTGATAATTTATATAAATTAGTCAAATGAAGAAAATTGTCAATATTTTCAGATTTGTTACAACCATGACACATGTGCTCTCTTGCATTACGATCACTCCAGTGTCCCCATGACTCTTGTAGATTCTCTTTATTAATCTAATAGAGTTCACATGTAAGCTCATTTCCTTTCTCCTTCCTCTCTCTGTTTCTATCAGATCACCGCTGCACAGACACACACAACTTCAGTGCATGACTCAGTGCACGCTCATGCCCCTCATTGTCTCTGCTGGCGTAAATTCTCCACCCCACCATGCTGGAGAGTCAGTGTTATCTAGAATGGCAGAATACCTAGGACCTCTCCTTTCTCCTCCTCTCCTCAGATATCCAAAGTATGGTCTATTTCTGTCCCTGCGTCTCTCAGCAAAGTGCCACTGACGTCTCGCTCTGTGCACTAAACAGAGGAGGGCTGTCAGTGATGGGTGTTCAGCTGAAGATCTGCATTTAAATAATGCCTCTCCCTTTTTTATTTCACCAGATTATGTTATGCTCAATTGCGTTTCTAGAAAAGGAGCAATAATAAGACAATGGATGTGTGATGATGAGTTTTCGAATTTGCTGTCCCTCTTTTCTCTAATTGAGAGTCATTACAATGATGAGATGTTATTTTTATAGCAATTAAGTAATGAGACATAAATGGTTATTGGGAGTGAGGAGGGAGGATGGAGTGATGGAGTGTGAAAAGGGTAAAGGGGATAAGGAGTGAAGGAAGCAGAAATGAGAAGAGGGGATTATTTACAAAAATTCATCTCTGAAATTGCTGAGTCACTAGAAGGGTAAAGCTGCAGACCAGCTCTCTTTCTCCTCCTGTCTCTTCCTCACCCACAAGCCCCAACACCAAGACACACAGCTTATTCCCACTGCCACCATCACCAAACACACACTTAATGCAATCCAAGAGAACGCTGGGTGCAGGAAGGAGGATGAGGCATATTGTTACTCCACACCAACCCTGTGGTATTGTTATCGGCTGTGCTTTCGTCATACAGACTCATAAAAACAAGCCAGATCGCACTAAACAGGGGGAAAGAAACCCATCCATTTATTTAAAACTAAATCAGCAGATTGCAGGCCTTTCAGTCAGATGATGTGTATTTGTTACATCACAAATAGGCATCATGTTGTTGTGGATTCTAGCATACGTCAGGGAAAAAAGGCGGTTGAAGATATCATGCCATTTTAATAGTCACAGCCTCTGGTCACAGATGGTATTTTGTGGATGTGGCCACAATGATGTTGCGTGTGTCTTCATTTTGTTTCTGCAGTGTGAGCTGGATGCAATGAAATTTCCTTCCCGATCAACATATCATTTCTATATGTTGTGCCACAAAACCTCTGACTCAAGGGCAAGTGTCTGAAGTGCTGGGTAGAGCTGGTGCCCCCAGGCGGGTGGCCTGGAGGCTGTTCCTGAAGGGATGAGCAGGTCTTGAGGGCAACAAGGAGGTCATACCAAAGGGCTGAGCTGGTCCGGAGGATTACCAGGAGACAGGACGGAAAGGCGATGGTGGAAACCTTCTCGAGGCTGGCTGCAAGGACGGGTGCTAGCTAGCTGGGAAGTTGGCTGGAAGCTAGCAGGCTGAGGTGCAGACAGGGCTAAACTGCAAGTCCATCTTAAGTTTATTTATAGTTGGTAATTACTCTACCATCAATGGTAAGTTTAGAGAATACACAAACAGTCTGTGGAGTTCCTAATGGCAGCATGTAGTCACTTGAAAGTAACAATTTAATGTCTGCTGGGTCCATATTTTTGGTCAGATCATTCTGTCACAATGCTGAGCACAGACACACGAGCACAAGACAAACGCAAAACACTTCACTGGGGAAACAGGCAACATGGAAAGTCTAAGATAGTTAGAGGCTGTAATCCAAGGTCAAGGAAATCCAAACATAAATCCAAACATGGGTGGCATGCATAGGAAAACAGGGAAGAACACTCAACATTGTATGAAGAAGATTGTCAATAGATAATGGGAAGACACTCACTTAAATAGGAAAGGTGATTGACGAGACCCAGTGGGGTAGGGCAGGGCAACCTGATCACAACAACAGGAAGAAAGGATCACAACAACAGGAAGAAAAGCTACACAGCACACAACAGGAATGATCTGGTGCTTTCCATTTACCTCGGAAGTTGGAGGTCGCAGTAGCAAGTTCCGTCACACCTGAGTATACAGCATTCTAGTACAACAACATGTTTAAGTTGGAAAACCAAGACTGATGCCTCTGGCCATTGTTAGCAATACCAGTTGATAATGATGCATTACGCAGTATTTAACACATACAAACACCGGAGCAACATGTCTACAGATATAAATTGGACAGGACTGTGTGTACGACTAATTTGAAGAGACACAAATAAGACAGAAGAGTGATAAACAGTATATTACACTAACATTAACATCTTTCACTACTGGATTTTAAGGTTGGGGTTGGTGAAGTTTTCACGGCTTTCCGAGACGGAAATCCCACTTAAGGGGGTGTTCCAGTTGAAATTTGTGACTTGGAACTCGGAAATTTCGACTTCCCATGTCAAATGAAACGCACCAATACATTCAAAATAAAACAGGAAATCCCAAAACCCCAAACCATCACAAGTTCTGGTTTTACATAAAAAACATGTGATCAAGATATGTGATGCATTATCATAGATTAAACTACCGACAGTCAGTCAGACTTGACAAATGCCCCAGTCAACTGCAACTTTTGCAAAAACATTTGTCCCTTTGCTGTTTTGCTGTTTTGAGTGTTGTCTGGTTCTGTTGTTTTCTACACATGAGTTACATTAGGAAAGTAACACACATACGCACACACACACACACACACACACACACACACACACACACACACACACACACACACACACACACAGCCCTAAACAAACAGAGCAAGGGTAGGCATCAGATTGGCTCCTATGGAATCAGCAAGCAGCATCAGCAATGAATTGACAGAGCAGCACCCCCTGCTGTTTGTTTAACAGTGACAGGAAGATCACACACATTGTGAGACACTGTGAAAACACAAAAATATATTGTGAGGAAGTGAAGGACAGGAGAGGAGTCTGATGTGATACAGTATGACTCAGGGCTATGAAGTCAGAGTGGGTTTAGCAGAGATTAAAGGATCAGAACAAGGAAAGAAAGTGTGGCAGACAAATAGAGAGTCCACTAAGTTCAGGAGCCTGCTGGAGACTACAGAGAGTACATTACTGTTACTCATCAATAACTGTAATCACAATTGAGTAATAACTCTCTCTCTCTGGAGGATGAAGTGATCAATATATTCAATAGTGTTTAATATCTGAACGAGGAAATATAATGTTCACATAATTTCTTAGCATGTGAGGAGTAAAAGGATAAGATGTCTTGTCGTCAGCAGACAGTGTCAGATTACATCTCCACCGCAGCTACTCTGTTCATCAATAACACAGAGTCCTGTCGACGTGTCTTTGAGCAAGACACTAAACCATTGCGATTTACATCCGTCACTTTAGATGGGCGTGGCAAGTAAATTACCCTTCAAATCAATTTTAAAAAGCACAATTTCTCCAGAGAAAGCAACACGACCAGCTGTTAAATTTGGAAACGTTTCATTTCATTTCATTTTCAAATTTATATCCCCGAGACACTGCTGCAAATACCGGGGGGTACCTGGAGAGATTGTGGAGGGCTCAGCTAAATTGAAAAAAATAGGAAAACTGACTTTATTTTAAAATAATTATATAGCTGCATGTTTGTGTTTAGGAGAAAAATGGACTGAATTACAAATTGGTGTGATGTTGATATTAAAATGGCTATAATCAGTAGGTTTATATTAGGACTGGACCCATAACTACTTGTAAGCAAAAGGAGTCACTCACAGAGAAAAACAAAAGAGAATGAAACTTTAGTATTTTGATTCTCACTCACTGCATTCTAGGCCGCAGCAGGCAGCAGTTTTCAGCAAAAAGCTCTAAAAGCTCACCGCTCCTTCAGCGTCTGTATGAGACGCCAAACAAAACTGCATATATACCTCATAAACCATAAGTAGAAGACCATATATTGTTGGATAAAATCAGCGTCAGTGCGCTTGTTTCCAAGTCTGCCCCCATGTATCCAAAAAATCACCTATTGCATGTTTTATGGCTGACTGCACAAGACATGTCTCAGTTTTGCATTGACCTGAATCAGCTGTTTTACACCAGACAAAGCAACTGAGAGTGCATGAAAACTAGTTAGCAAGTGAGCAGAAAAGTCTAAATGTTAGGCTAAAAGTAACAGATAAATGTCTGATAAGTCACACCAAATAGCAGTAGACCAAGTGTAAAAGTGACCAAACCTACTGAGAAAAGAAAAGAAGAGACAACAATTCAATACAATCACTGTGTCTTGTACTGGGATATGCTGGTGTACCAGCATATACAATACACGTTGGTAAGTTTAGCATAATGTTATAGACATGAATAACATGGGCATATAAGATGAAATATAAAAGATATCACAATGTTTTAAATTGTAAATTGTACTACCTTAAGTTTCTGTCGTCCCTTTCTGGTTCTAGTGTTAATTATAGTTGTGCATAAATGAAGGCACATGTACTCCACCTCATTCTTGGGGTCAATTGGCTGTGACAGCAAGAGCTACACAATCCTAAGACCCAATTAATGAGAGGATTTACTTATTATCACACTGACTGGATATAATTACATTAATACATTTAGTGTTATGGTTAAGTGCTTGATGGCAGATGCTATGGCCACCTTTAGCTCTCAGAAAGGGCCGTTGTTCAATGATGTAGTTATTTCTGTGGCACTTTATTCATGCTTTGTGGGCATCAGTAATTTTTATTTCAGACATCTTGCTGTTATTTGTGTTTCTGAAATGCTCTACATAACAGATGGGTAGATAGATATATACTCTTGCTTCGGTCTTTTACAGATGTTGACTCCCTGCAGAAAATCCAAGACTGCTGACAATCAGACCACATAAATCACCAGCATGTGTAACCAAAAGGTAGCACAGGATGGAAACACCAACCTCCACACTGTCCACCAGGTAACAAGGCCTAACAAATCTTTTAGGCTTGTATGTTCACATGCTAGCTGTGGGAGAGTTGACGAATAGATCACTTCATCATCACATACACCAAGAAATTCAATTATACACATGCGATCCAGGGGTGATTCATTCTCTCACAAGGAATATAGAATTTGGACTTTTGGGATTTTCATTTATTAGACTGAATATATAAAGATGGGCTCTCTGCGTGAAAGGTCTAGAAAATATTATATTTCCTCACTTCTGTAAGGATGACACTTCTCCTGGGATAGATGTGACCAAAAATTCTGTTGGAAAAGTAATTTGATAAATCAGACATGTGAAACATGTATCCTCACAGAAGGGGTACTAGATTTTATCTAAACATGAACTAAAGCACAGGAATAGCCAGCAGCCAGCAGAATACACATGCTCATGTGTTGTTCTGTATCCAGTGACCTCACTCGCTCAAGATGCTGTTTCGTCATGCATTGATTTGGCTCGAAGGGTTTTGTCGAACATGTTCATATTTGCCCTTTGATCCTCAGAGAGGAAAGGTGAGCTGTGATCCATCCGGACATAAACAGAACCCTGCTAATTAAAGCTGAAAACAGTCAGCAGCAGCACACCTCTTTTTTTAGCTCCAACACCCTGCTTCACACATCACAAACACACACACTCATCACAGTCAAGTTTGACTTCAGCTCCAGACATGCATGATACAGCCACGATCTACCATCCCTTTAAACCATTGATTTAACTTGCATAGGAATGTTGCTAATAATAGGCATATCTAATCAATGAACACACACATACGTTAACCTTGGGTTGACTTTACAAGTCTGCTATGCAATCTCCCTGCAATACCTGACAATAACCATCAGGAGCGTCTCTCAGCAGGGTGCAGATCATTTCTGTGCAGGAGTGTGTGGATGAGCTGTGAGTGTGTCCTCCATGCAGTAACGCAAAATGGAAGCGACAGATACCTGGAAGAGCGGAAGAGTTGGAAGGAGAGGAGGAGACCTCTATTTTTGGAGATGGTATTCTCATGGCGTCTCAGGGGAGAGGGCCGCTATATGGGCTCCCCTCCTCAGATGGCAGAGCTGGAGAAACCTGCAAGAGAGGAGCAGCAGAGGATGTCAGTCACAGACGAGTAACCATGAGGATTTTGCAAATGCAATATATTTTGTCTGAATCAATAAATTCAGGGGGCAGACTGGTTTTGGGAATGAGCTTCACTCACACTCCATACTTCCTTTTGCCCTGCAAATTGAGTGACTTCCACTGTAGAGCATCATGGGACTAAATGTAACAATAAAAAACAACACAAAAAGCCCACCAGCCAATTTTTCTCCAACATCCAGGCCTTTTCTGTTGCTGTGACAACAACAAGGACAAGAGGAGGCAACCTTGGACGCTGGACAGCTTTGTGTCGATACAACACAGGCTTCCTCATGAAGGCTGTCAGCTTTACAGTGCACCAACACTGACTCACACCTCACAGCAATTCCGTCTGTAGCGAACTGATCTGAAATATCTGTGGCCAAACAGTTTAAATCCAGAGTCATAATTTGGTAATTAGACTGAATTCAGGCAGCAACCACTCAGACCACCACAGTTAATGTCAGACAGCAAATTTCTCTCTTTGGGTAAAATGATCTATAGATCTAACTGAGATGACGCAGTGGATTTTAGACCATGAGTGGCTGAATAAAGATTGGTTCAATAAGTTTAAAGGGTGAGGTTAAACTGAACAAAAACACATTTACCTGTCTGTTTTTGAAGATACTTAACTTTTAAGGCAGACATACACACATCTTGATCAGGGCTGCAGCCAAGAATTTAAGTACAGGCATCATGACACAAGTCTCCTCAACCATCCCACCCATCGCAATCAGAAAATTTGGACCCAACACTAATAACATCTCTAATTTACACATATCATTTAGATTATCTTCAGGAGAATACATGCAAGTTTTCCAATTTAAATTTGTTTAAAAATACTGGAAGCAGCCTATAAAACACCCACCATGTATAAGCAAAATTGTAAAATGTAAACTCCAAATCTGCCCTGGATATGAGAACATGCCCTCAGTGTCCTCAATGGTAGTTACTCTGTGGGCAAAATTAGTTTAATTATAATGACATGAATTAATTGCAAACATCAACACAGGCCATTTGGACATTGTTATTTTATTTATTTAGGTTATTTGATTGACCTGCCATCTATGTTTGTGCTACTTAATTTGTTGTTTTCAAAAAAGGGCAAGAATCTTTTTCTTCTTACCGTTTGTTTTGTTCATTACATGTGTATTATGTATGTAAAATGGTGTTTGTGTGTCAAAGTGCTGGCATTTTACATTTTACATAAATGCGAGAATGAAATATAAATAGGCGGAAAAATAAATAAATAATAGTTGAAGAAAAAATGGCAAGAGGTTTTTATAAGGAATAGAGCCACACACATTGATTTATGTGATTACTGCTGATTGCTTTGTGATTATAGCATTAACAGGAGGTTATGGTTTATGTTTTGATTCACCTCCACGTCACAAGTGAGTCATACACATACAGGTGATTTGGCACAAGATAAAACCAAAAGCTTTCACCCTGAAAAGGCTGTCACCCAAGGGTACTGCATCATTCACTCTCCACACTACTCAGTACACCATCTGAAGTCTGCCAGAAGAGCCAGTGGCAGAGACTTTGTGTTTAGTATGACATCTTGTGGAGGAAATTAGCATTTCAGATACAAGAAAGGTATTTCCCCTCAGTAGGATAGCGTCACAGTATAAACGCATGTATTGTGATGTATTTTATAATGTGTGAAATAGTTACTATGCCTTTTACAAATGTTCCACATACCTTATGATTGATTAATATACAATCAAATAACACGTAAAAGTTGAGAATGCGTTGCCATACCATAGAGAGTTCATTGTCAAAGCACGCAGTTAAAACACTATAAATACATAAATAATGTCTTTCTGTGTGCTTTTCGATGTTCTTTTGTATTATAACTATCACTAATAATTTACAACAAGTCAGCTATTCTGACAATATTTATATGCTAACACCAAACCCATTCAATTATGTTTCTTTATGCCCCAAAACAATTTCAATGATATTAAAAAAATTGGGAGTATCAAATTGAATTACATATAAAGAATCAATTGTGTGAAAAGAATGTAATTTAAACCTAAAATGTAGCCTTCTGAATAAGAAACTCTGTCTTTGTCTCTGTCTTAGTTAACAGCTTTTAATAATTACCGTTTAAAAGCATGTTACCCCTAGCTTTGTCTGTGACTATAATTATTTATTACTTACTTGTTCTTAGGGTGGTGTATAGGAAATAAATGTCTTGCAGATGTGTAGCCTTGGGGGGAAAAATGGTGAATGATGGGAAATGGAGTTTTGGGACTTTCTGAGCTTCACCATATCCTAAACATCTACAAGAGAACAACATGTTAATAATATAATAATATCCAATTGTTCAAAAAAATCCATAAAACAGCGGACTGTGATAACACTTTAGAGGCACTGGGTGCACCGAATAAAAAGGAAGCACATCACACTGACTTCAAATCCCAGAGTGCTTTGAGAGCTGTGACTTCCTTCTGGTAGTTGTAGTTCACAAAGGTCGTTTCCGTCTATCTAGCCAGCATTAGGTGGTGGAATCTGCTCTGCAAAGACAAACACATGTGAAATTATTGATCAGGTAGGGCAAACAGCTTATTCTGCCGGCTCCCGCCTATTGATCTTGTCGATGAAATTGTAAATGTAATTTTAATTTCCTATGGTAAGTCCTTATTTTACCCGTCAACGTAGAAGCTACAACCAGTGTACAAAATCAGCGCTTACATGGCGATGCATTTCCTTTTGTTCAGCTAGCTTATGTGTTGGAATACAGAAGCTAAATTCTCAGAAATGTTACTCATTTAAAATAAACAGTGACTGAAAGGATTCATTGACGTAAGCTAACGAGCTGTTTCCAATTTTAGACACACTGTAGCTGCACATTCCGGCGACACTTGACACGTCGACATTTATTCAGCTACTATCGGTGAAGTTAGACATTTATCAGCCATATGGTTAGCTGCATAAATATATAACCTGTAACTTACTCTTTATTAGCTTTGAGCTACGTTAGTTAGCATTAGCATTAGGCTTGTCGCAGTTAATGTTGTTTACATCCGGTACTGCGGGTTGGCGGCTTCGCACGGCTGTGGCCCCATATTCAGACCTGCTGTGTAACACGACTCTGTCTGCTGCTCATTACATGCTAAATAATATTTGGATGATGTCAGTTTAGTGAAGAATGTAAGCGTCAGCTGGTCCTGTCATATTCACTAACCGAATTGTCTCGTTTCTCACAGGGTTGTGTGAATTTATGGAAACATGTCAAAGAAACGGGGCAGGTAGGATCTTTTGACCCTGGTGTATTATTGTATATGACACTGTACTTCCCTATGCACCTGGAATGACACAGCAAGAAATACTCTAATCTCTAACCTAATCACTTTTATGAACAACTTTAATCCAAGAGTTCATTCAACCTCAGTCTAGTGACTTTAAACTTGGATAAAACATTATCCTGAAACTGTATGTACACTCAATCTATCTATCTATCTATATGGCATGCCGTTTAGGAAATAATATATATATGAAGTTTGTCCGTCCTAATATATGGAATGGAAGTCTGAATATATTGAATGGAATATATATGTGTTTGTAATATTAGGTACCTGCTTGTTTCAGCTCTGGCCTTTGTTCTTGATGATAATTAAAAACAATGTTATGTGTGTTTGAGCTGTGTGTTTGTCAGCACAACAGAAGCCTGTAATGATAAACCTGCCAACACATACTGTTAACTAAATTAGCCTGATCTGACAAAACTATTTTAACTGTCATTTTACAGTATTAATGGCTCAGATAAAGCATCATATTGATTGTTTACTACCCACACCTCAGCACACAGTTTTTCCTGCCATGGTCATATTAGACCAGAGACAAGTCAATAAGTACAACTGCTTGAATCTGCCTCTATGAGTCTCACAAATGCTCAAAGTTCTGCACATTCTCACTTTTGTACCACATATTTCAGTAAAATGCATAGCAAAGGTGATTTAGATGAAACCGCACCCCGCACCCGTATGACGAAAGCCTCAACAGTATATGACAGCTACAGTAGGATTTGTGCAACTGCAATGATGAATTTGAGAAGATGTAACTACAAGTTTGCAACTCCTGAACTTCTATTTTTTCTCTGTTCCTTCGAATTTACTGATACACATGCATGACTGTTTTTTTTACAACTACAAATTCCACTGTCCCATGTGCTCAGTTGTTTTGCTCAAATAATACCTTCATACCCATCCGCTGATAATTTTCATATATAACAGATTTACAGCCTTGTGTGCATATGTATCATTTCCGTTCTCATTGTTTGGAGCAGCAGTACCAATTTGGAACTGTGGATGACTTAAATTTAATTTCATATCTTAAAGATCTCCTCAGTCAAAACAAATAACCCACTAATACTGATTTGAACAGCTCATTTAGTACTTCAAAAAGTTTATTCTTCTTTAGATCTACAACTAATATTAATATGGATCTTATTCCCTCTCTGTTCACAGGAAGCGTAGCAGTGGAGAGCTGAGTGAGAGCTCTGCGTCAACCCTGAGCCCAGACCCTGACAACCTGCTGGGCCGTAGGATTCAGCACACCTGGAGGGAGAAGGGCAACGTGACCAAGTGGAAAGGCACTGTTCTGGAGCGCCTAACTATGAACAGCTCCCTCTACATGGTTAAATATGACGGCTTTGATTGTGTGTACGGCATAGAGCTCTTCAAAGATAACCGGGTGTCCAACTTGCAGGTGTTGTCAGAGAAAGTTGGTGAGTGTGACCGTGTCTATCTCTAATTGTGGACATATTTTTGCTTTGGTTGTGTGAAACAGTAAAGTATTGAGAAGTGGTGTTTTCTGGCCATTTTAAAATGGTAAGTACTTTAGTCACACTTGTACATCAGTGATCGCCTTGAACAACACTATTGTGGCCTTTTCATAGGATTTTCTGTTTGAAGCTTGAGTTAGTGTTTTTCTCATTGTCTATAGTGAGGTGACTATCCAGTTCTTCTTTTGTTTATTCTGTATGCCCCAACATTGCGGGTGACAGAATTATGTTATTATATTATAATATATTACTTTAGCCCAGGGTGGGAAATTAACGTTTTAAAATGTGAACATCCACCAGCCACTCTTCTAAATCACCAGCTACATAGTAAATATTATTTTGTGTCTGAAATCTACCAGTCACTTCCATATTTTACAAGCATTTGGCTGGTGCTAATTCCACACCATGTTTATCCCAATCTAAAGATACTGGACTTTTTTTGTGTGCAAAGAATGTTATATTTGACAAACTGTCAATTTTTATCCTGGTCAATTTGAAAAGGTTTATTTACTTCAGTGGGCTACAATAAAGTGGCTATTGAACAAATCTGATAGTCTGTAAAGAGTTTTGCAGAATTTATTGGAGCTTTGTCAGAATTGTAAGTCAGGCTGAAACAATTCATCGATTAAATCAATTAATTCGATTACTAAAAAACAGAGACGCAAATTCTTTGCATCGATGCTTCGTTTAATCCATATAACTATATAGCACACTGTTTCGCATGGACATTTAGTCTATAACTGTCACACATTGCGCTTACACTGTGTGAAGACGATGTGATTATGATGGCGCTGTTATAAAGTGGAGGAAGAGAGAGAAAATAGCGAGGGCTGAAGAAGAAAGTGTCCAAAGTATCCGATTATTTCAAGCTAAAAGAAAACAACAACTCTGTAATGTTACAGTCCGTCCACCGTAAAACGAAACTTATGTGGCCTACCGCAACAGCACGACGGCACCTGGGGCCATATCCAGGATATCTTTAAGCTATCTGGCTTAACTAACTCTAACAATCATGGTCGAGATAAGCGGTACCATGAAGCTGGTTATCAACTCGGTAACTCAACCCAGGGTTTCCCAATCCAGCCGTGAGCGCGTTCACATAAAAGATGCGGTGTTAGCATCAGATGACCAATCGCAGACATGAACAAGTCCACTGGCATCATCAGAACGTCATATTTTACAAACAAAGAGCAAACTGTAACACTACAGAAATATAACATGGTCTAAGTAATACAGCTGCAGCTGACACATGCAGGGAGACAGAAAATCACTGACAGTGTGAATGCCTAAATGAACAGGCATAGTCTAATAACAGTGCGTTGATTTGATGTGTTCTTATGAGCTGAGTGAAAATAGCAGCCTTATTCTTTCAGCTCGGCTGTGTGTCGGTGTTTCCACATTAAAAGACTCAGGCACTGAATAAGTGGTCTTCCACCTCACTTTAAAAAACTTCTTGTCACTTCAAAAATGAGATTAATTCCTTTAACAATCAAAAGTGTTCCAAACATTGTTCTAAATTAACTTCACAAAGCAATAAAATGAAAAATCTATTCATGCCATAAAATGTGCTCAAATAGTGGTTGAAAGACTAAATCTCAACATTTAGGCTACTGAACACTCGCCTCATTACCTGCACCTACATCGCAAAAAAGGTGGGGCTGAACATTACCAGTCTCTGTAGTGGGCCTATAAGAAATCTACTAACCTAAAATTAATAGCCTACGTTCATTTTAAAATTTATTTCAATATCCCTACCAAACTGATCATAATATTCAGCCTCACATAAGAAGAATGAAACCCGTTTATTTTACCGGCTGCGACAGTGTGAAATGGACTGGGAGCAAATAAAAAATATTAAACACATTTCAAAGTAGTTAGTAGGCTTACTGTAAAAACATGTAGGCCTACAATAGCCAAGGCTTTTATGCTGCGTTCCAATTCCCTTTGAAATTTTTAACTTTGAACACCAAAATTCCTACTTCCCATGTGTGACGTCATTCCCAGCTCCGACCTCTGACTTCCAAGGTAAATGGAATGCAGCATAAATCAGTCTCTGTGGGATGATATCGCTATAACCCACAAGGTTTTCTTTGTATCACTGCAGCAAACATAAAGCAGCCTATAAAACAGTCTGTGGGATTTCCTACAGATGGTGATGTCATTTTCCAAGTGAGCTGATTGGTCAGTAGGTGGTGTTTTCATAGAGTTGATCTCTTATCTGGAACATAACCTGCTCTGGAGCAGGTTAGCCATTCAGCATAAGTTACCATGGCGATCTAACCCGGTAAGAAGTGAACCACTGTCGTGGTACTAAAAACTCAGGGTTAACCTCGAAGTTACCTCCATAAGCTCAAATACTGCTTTGTGGTACAGGCCCCTGATCAGAAAGCACCTGGTGTTATGCCAGCAGACCACAGAAGGTAACAGTAACAGCAACTTTAGCATTTAATGACGTCGTGCTTCTTAAAACATGTATCGATGAAATAATCTGTAGAAGCTTTGAGTACTAAAATCATTAGCTGCAGCCCTAATTGTAAGATAATATAATATTTTGATGTCCTCATACACTGTGTCATCTGGGATCTGTAAAGTTTTTCCAATTAATGGGCTTACCAAAATTTGTTCTTTCTGCAGTGAACAATAAGATCAAGGTGCCTCCCGGGGCGGAGGAGCTGGTGGGCCGAGCTGTGGAGCATCTGTTCGAAAAGGAAGACGGTGAGAAAAATGAGTGGCGAGGCATGGTGCTGTCCCGAGCCCCAATCATGACCCACTGGTATTACATCACCTACGAGAAGGACCCTGTGCTGTACATGTACCAGCTGTGGGACGACTATAAGGACGGAGATCTGCGTGTCCTGCCTGAATCAGGTATAGCCACGAGAGCTTTCTTGTTTGTGTTCATAAAACTGTCAGTGTTTTCAGATGCTCCTGGAAAGGTGGGAGTAAGAGAACAGGACACATTTACATAGTCAGCATTACAAAACACTCCAATCTCCATGCTGCCTTTTTTTTTTGGACATTTTTATACGGTTTCTCCTTGATTCAGTGGTGAGATAGTATGTTATATTATGGACACTCTTATCATGAAGACACAACACTATCTACAAGAAATTGTAGGAAACTAGCAGATTTGATAGATAAACTGGGGCAAGCTCTTTGGTAGGGTTTAAGGCGAGGGCGTTGTTTTGTAGATAATTATCTCATCGCTGCAGTTTGTGTTGCAAATGTTTAAACTTTGGCTGCTAAAAAATTATACTGTATAAGAAGAAATTTTCTTTCGCTTACTTATTTGGCTGTTTTTTTATCTGTCTGACATCCAGAGAACAAACACCTGCTGCCAGCAGACAGGAAGCCGGGTGAGGAGCCAGAGAGCCTCGTGGGTAAACAGGTTGAGTACGTTACAGATAATGGTCTAAAGAGGACGGGCTTGGTCATCTACCAGGTCCCAGCTAAGCCCACAGTATACTACATCAAATATGACGATGATGTCCACATTCACGTCTACGATCTGGTGAAGACCACCTAGTACTGACTGTCCGGTTTCATCTTCAACTACTGGCTCATCTCTGACCTGACTAGTCTTTATCTGTTTAAGTGTTACAGATTTCAGCTTATCTCCAGCGGGAGGCGATGTGCCGAAGATCAAAGGCCTCGTCTTTTTTGGGGGGGGGTTGGGTCTTTTTAATGTTTTTGGCCTCCAGAGGCTTCTTTCATTCTTGCATTACAAGACATGTTGGTTTTTGATTCTCAATTTTGTGTTGACCTCGATGCATGAGCATTAGGTCCTTTTCAATGTAAATAAAGCAGGTCTGAGACCAGTCGTAATGCCCAGCAGAAATGGAGCTAGAGGTTTGTTTTGGTTAAACCACACTTGTATAGTGCAACTTTAAATTCATACTTTTTGTAAGCAACGCATCAAACTAAAAGAATTCAGCTTTCTTACCTATACCTCTGTGTTTTACTCGTAATTCATTTCACTTTTATATGCCTGTGCTATTTATTTCATTTGGAATACCTGGCTGCTGGTAACATTTTGGCAAAACCTGTCTGCTGTGCTCTGTGTGTCTCTGGGTTAGGCCTCAGTTTGTTGGATATAGAAAAAGTATTCATTCACAGCTCAGATGAACTCAGATTTCAGTTGGAGTGTATAGGCATTGATGAGACTTAACTGTCTCGAATCGTGGATAAAAAAAAGATTATCCTTTAAAAAGTCATGTATCATATTTCTGTTCTGATGCATCATGTAAACTGCAAGTTTTCTACGTTATAATAATATATGAAAAATACTGATGTTGATGTCAAGTTGTTTCAACCGTGTTTGTGCTACACACTATTTATGTAGTTCAAATTGGCAACCAACATTGTTTAGTATTTCGGATTGAAGTCTTTATTATTTGCCAAAAATGAAAAATGTGACATGATATATTCATGCCTCAAAATACTGTTCATTGTGACCCTAAATATGTTTTGTTCTGTAAATATAATCTGAGACATTTTTATGAACATAAAAAACAATCTGCTTGAAAAAAATGTTCTCGTCCATCCATCCATCCATCATCAACCGCTTATCCTGCGTCCAGTTATTGTTAAATGCTGTTTGTGTCGCTGTGCTGGATATTTTGTTCATTCAAGTAAAAATACATTAATTAAATCAAATAAACACATTTTTGTCAGATTAGGTACATGAGTGACTCCCTATAAGTTGTTTATGTGAAGCACTTCATAAGTTATCTATGAAAGAGGTCCTGTTGTACAGGTAGTAAAACAAACAATGAATTATCATAGTGATCTGAAAAGGTTTTAGATCTGTTCTGATATAATGAACTAATGCATATTTTTGCCCCTTTGTTTGGGTTGTCTGAGGTGATCTGACAGTGCTTCTCTTACTGAATGCTGCACTTTAAACTAGAATTTATAATCCAGGTTTCTGACCTTATGACCTCTAGTTTTATCAGGGTTGTGATTTTTCCGGCTTAATCCGGAAAATTACTTTTGCCAGTAAAGAGTAATGTTACGGATTACTATTTCCAAAACAGTTGTATTATTACTGAACGCACCATCCCTGACGAGAATGCGCGACCGCACTGCAGCTCAGCGGCACCGGACCTTATGCTGTTAAAGTCAGCTGTTAGCCAAGAAGCTAAAGGACAACTGGAGAACAGACAGAGAGAGGTATTTGCGACAGCTGTAAGTAACGTCATTGCAATTACTGTGTCACAGTCTAATCTGCAAAGAACATTGTCGTCCGTTGTAAACTTTGACCAGCAAACGACCAGCAAACAGTTCTACATTTTACTAATGCTAACACTACATATACAATGCTAATTGATAGCATCAGCTAAAGCAACACAGCAACGTGAAACTCAGAGAGAAACTCCGGCCGCTGCTGCCAGTGATGCTTGGACTCATCGGGAGAGAGAGGCGTTATAATAGGCTATCACTCAGCAGTGGGCCTATGTAAAGTAGCTAATATTACTTTTTTATAGAGTAGGTCTATAGCCTATGCTAAGTAACTAGTAGGTAATATTATTTCTGAGTAACTTGCCCAACACTGAGTTGACAATAAGGAACAGAAAAATTGGGAATGTTTTGATTATTGCTTGTTAGAGGCTGTGTCTAATGTTTTCTTTGACTTTGTTGTCTATTGATCACTCATGTATCCTAAAAATAGACTTTGCTGTGTGAGTGGTTGCTTTTTAAGTCGTCCTTATGTTAAAGGTTTTGGCACGTTATTAATTAATTCCTTGTGAAGGGTTGTGACAGGGTTTAGGCTATATTAGGCCTTTTCACACGGGTCGCTTTGCGCTCCTCATCAACAGACAGGCAAACAAGCGCTCCGGGAGGTAACCATGGCAACGGCTTCTGTGTGACTCCCGTAAAACTGTCGCGGTCGCTCTCGTCTCACGCACACGCCCGCCCGCTGCCAGAGCTGAAATGTCAAACGTTTTCCTACAGTTTATCAACAGATAGAGACTGATCAGCTGTTTGAGTTTCCTGAAGAATATGTGTTTCTTCACCAGTCAGGCCACCAGGTCTTAAACAGGCAACAACCTTTGCTGCTGTCTCTTATTCATGAAAAATCATCTATTAACTTCAACTGAACTAATCTGAAAGTTGGTAGTTACATTATTTAGTTATAGACTCAATTATTTCATGTTTCATGTTGCACATTTAGCTGATGAAGTTTGGTAAAAATGAATACAAAAAAATAATTATTATAGAGAGGTTGCGATGGCGCAGTGGATTAGACCCCTGTCTTTGATTCCCACTGCAACACATCCATTAAATAAGTTATTGTCATGGGTGCTGCTTTACCTTCCATGTTAGAGCCGGCGCCAGTTTCATCGGGGTGTTGGGTGGTCTCAGTATATTTTCCTGCTTTTTTGCCCTTTGCCAATCACATGCCTATTTTATATCTTTATATAATGCTGACATAGTGCCACAACTGACTGATTCAGAATGTGGATATATTATTCGAAAAATGTGTGTATTAACCATGCAAGTGGATTTCAAAATCTAAACAACATATAACATGAGCTGAGAGATGTTTTTCCTTGACCTATTACTCAAGTCAGCAGATGGATATTTTGAAGAAGCTGCTTGAATTTAGACCAATATTTTTATCTTCATCTTTCAAATGCAATGGTAATATACGCTTTTATTTTTTATTTTATATAAACATTAAAAAAGGTACAATTAAGTACGAATTTGTGAGAGGTGAGCATACTTGACATGTGTGAGGTTCCAGCATGCAGTGCAGTGTGATTTTTATACCTGTAAAAAAAGTAAGAGACTGTAGTTAATAGACTGCTTTGATCCGACTTTGAAATTGTCACCAATCTTTTTTATTCATCTTATTAAACAGCTTGATTCTGAAATTGACACTTTAGCTTTCCATGCTAGCAGTGAGACAAAAGCTGTTACATGTTTGAGGGGCTCAACAACAAAAAAACAAGATAATATTGGTCAAAACCAGACTATTAGACATTGAATAAAAAGAAAAAAAAATCTTAACCAGGGCTGGCGATGGCACAGTAGATAAATGCCTTTGGTGTGAGAGACCTGGGTTTGATTCCCACTGCAGCACATCCACCAATGTGTTCCTGACACTTAACCCCTAGCTGCCCCAGAGGAGTGCGACCTCTGACATACATAGCAATTGAAAGTTATTTTGGATAAAAGCGTCAGCTAAATGAATAAATGTAATGTAAATGCTGTGTGTTTTGCTTTAACAAGAATACGTCTATAGCCATGCAGCTTTATGAGGCTGTCACGGTGGCGCTAAATGCTAACATCTTCACAATGCTGGTGTTAGCAGGTATTTTTGTCATGGTCTCCGTGTTATTTTAACATGTTGGCGTGCTAGCATTTGCTGATAAGAACACAAAGAAGAACACAGCCACAGCCACTTTAGTTTTGCAGATATGTGGTTATAAACAAATGTATTGGACAAATAAAAAGTCAGAAAAGTGAGTGACTGAAAAGTCAGAGGATCATCAAAGTTCATCCTGTAAATCCTAGTAAATCTGCACGCTATGCTTTATAAAGTTGTAGCTTAACTAACTCAACATTTTCCCTCTAGTTTTGCTGCTTCACTTTTTGTAGCCTATTTTAATCAGATCCCTGATTAGCTTCTGTATTTAAAGGCCAATGAAATCAGGGGAACAGAAGCTATTAAGTTACACAGATAATTTAAGATACAGCAGTAGAAACTATGTAAAAGCTGAACATTTTCATAATCCTTATTGATAACTTTATTACTCTTATTTCTGCCCCATAAAGTAGGCTACTAAGATGCAGACTACATTGATCATGCAAAAGGCTTCTGTTTTGTATTGAATTATTTTTTCCTATTTTTTGGTAAATACACAGATAATAGCTGCAGTTATCTGTCCTACAGTACTGCAAATTATTTATCATCAACAAAATGTTACTAAAGATGACCCTGCTTAAATATTTGTAATGATTTAATGCCAAGCACAATCTGCCATGAGGTGGAGCTTATGTCTGATAACAGGGATGAACTGTGTCTGTTCATCAAACATCAGCTCTGCTTTGATGAGGAGCAGATGAGAGACATGTTCTCTCCGGATTCCTGCTCCTCCTGACCACACATGTAGCCACATGCTGACTGCTGACCGCCTTTCCCTCCCCCAGAGTCCCTCCATGGTGCCAGGGTGCTGGTGACGGGTGCCAGTACAGACAGCCGGGAACAGTTGGCATACCATCACGCCAGGCTGGGTGCCCAGATAGTAATAACAACTAGGAGGGAGTGCATGCATTACACAAGGTCTGTGCTCTTGAGAATGTGTCTGATGCAATTTGTCACCTGTTGTGCACTTCCTTTTACACATCAATCACTATTTTCTACCATTTTCTTTCTTCATTAAACCATCTGCCTGGACTCCTGGCAACAGCTTTTATTGGTCAGACATAATAATTATAAACCCAAGTATCTTTTACTGTGAATACATCTCTTCTCACAAGGTCAAAGTGACTTCTATTTTCAATTCAGGCAAAACAGGAGAAATAAAGGACCATATATGCCTGGTTATTGCTTTGATCATGTGTGACTCTATATCCGTCCTGTGGGTGGCAAAAGTGCTTGGGGGCCCAAATAGGCTGGACAACCACATGTAACGAGGCATGTTTTGCTCCCTTAATCTCTTTCTTCATTACCAGGACAGTAGTTAGAAAAAACAAAACTGATCACACCAGGGATATTACAAAATGGTCAGCCGCCTCAGTAGTTGTTCATTTATTTCTTTCACACAAGAGAAAAGGGCTAATTCAGGGATCATGTTTAGCTCTGTATGGGGCTAAAACAAACAGTAAGTCAGGTACCGTTTGTCAGCTGTTTATGAGCTCTATGAAGAGAGACTTCTTTGTGCATAACACTATTTATACACTCACTCAAACATATGAAAGGCTGTTATTAGAGAATCCTTCCCTCTGTTTTGTCTGTGAGTTACATTATTACAGGACCTTCCTGGAAAACCTTGAAACTTTCTCTGCATTCTTATTGGCCAATAAACAAATGCACTTGACTCTTTTGTGTTGCTTAGCAACGTCAGCCAGTCCCTGGTTTTTATATATGAAAAACCAGCATGCTGCCAATCTGGAGACTTACAGGGTGCAGTGTGAATGAGACCAGCCTCCGATGCATTTTTAATTAAAATGTTGCAGGCTTTTCTGAGCAAGAGGGGCTGTAACCATTGTCTGGGATCGTTATTAACAGAAGATGGCGACATGATTGATTTTTATGTTTAGTGTCAGTGGAGATGAAGATGATTTGTCATTCAAATATAACTTACATGTTGGTTTTATGCTTTGGATTTCAAAATTTAAACAATCATTAATTTGTATTGATCTTAAACTGTTTTACGTAAATACTTTTTTAAAGACTGTGCTTTTTTCATTTTAGGTGGGTCTGACTTTTCTGTTTAAAGTAGCCTATTTGCCATGCGTAACAACCATGGGGATCCTGTCAGGTCACTCATGCAGGTATCCTGGTAACAACAGAAAAAAAGATTGAGAGAGTATTTG